CAGACCACAGGGAAAGTAGTGATCCTAGTAATAACACTGGAAAAGGTTGACATTTGTGAGACAGATATAGACACAACAAACAAGCTTGGTGCATATAAAGATACAAAGTCGTGTCTAATTATTTGTAAGTTTGTGCATCGTAGAAAGAAAATGGACAAAATAAAAGGGAGAAAACGACTGAAGGGTACTGGCAAAGCAATCGTAGAAGATCTGACAAAGACAAATCAACAACGTCTGGAAGAGGCATGTTAACTAGAATGTGGTGAATGTACATGGAGTACGGACGGTAAACTGTTTGCCTCTCTAAAAACACAAACAAAAACCGGAGACATTTCATTGATACTCTACTGTCAGAACGTTACCTTCTCGATGATGGAAATTTGAAAAGAGAACATGAACAGTGACGTGAACATATTTTAACTCATAAAGAGCCTATGTTACTGAAAGTACCCCTTTCCTATGTACAGACCCCAAACGTACAGTATCATTGTCAGCATACACACTGGAGTTTTCATCATTTGGTAACTTACATTGATTTCAAACAAATGTCTACTGTAGATCCTTACTTCAAAAACAACTAAGTAAAATGACTGAATTTTACGATTTTTATTTTCTTTCAATTTTGTTTTCTTCCAAGTTGTCTATCCTGGCATGTTGAATGTCATGTTATAAGTTCACGCTCTAAAACAGTTTCAAAGTCTATAATGTTTCAGGTTGAATCAAGAAAATAGTAAAATGGATGAAAATATTCTTTAACAAAATAAAAGTATCTTTGCCGTGTGGAAAATCAAGTTTCATATGTTGCCAAATTAGCGCATAGTGACGTTTGAATGTCTCTCCTTTCGAGTGAAACAAAAACACTTCCACCGTCCTTTCTTTGGTGCATTTCTCACATGGGTTTCCTTATATCGTTTGTATGGGTGTAGAATTATTTGCATACATGGTGCTATTTCACTTAAAATTCAATGAAACTAATAAAAACGACCTATCGAGAGGTATCCATGTTTAAACTAACACTCTACGCAACAATAGTTTTCGCGAAAAGCTCAAATAAATAAAGTTAAAAAATACCATGTGATTTCCCACCTATTAAAAATTTAGAAAGCATGCCCATTGGAGCATTCGATTCAATTTAGAAGAGAGTACTCTTATATAAACAATGAAATTTTAAGAAGCCGTAGCAAAAATAGAAGAAAAGAAAAAAACAGGCATGGAATCATTACATGTATACCTAAGGGAGAGAAGCCAAGGCAGTTTAAAAATGGAGACCAAATTCTTTACTCAATATTATATAAACATATAAATAGCATCAGGGTCAGCAAGTAGACTAAACCATTAAACAAATTGATAAATAGTGATGAAAACAGATTTTATTGCGAGGAGGTGTATAGGAGAAATTACAAGGATAATATATATTATGGAGTACACAGACGAAAATGAACTACATTCTATCCTCGTATTTATAGATTTGGTAAAGGCTTTCGATTCTGTTAGTTGGGATTTGATCAAAAATGTTCTTTTTCTTTTTTAATTTTGGAGTTGGTATATGCAAGTGGATAAAAACTTGTGCACTCTCTTCTATAAATCAAGTCGGTAATCTTTCAACTTTTTATCGAAATTTACAGAGGCTGTCGTCAAGGGTTCCTTATTGCTCCTTCTTTTCCATACTGTGTGTTGAAATACTTGCTATTAGAAAAAGAATAGATAAGAATATCAATGGTATTAACATAAATAAGGTTCCAACTTTACTATCACAATATGCAGATGATACATCAATTATTTTAGACGGTAAATCATTTCATGAGTTAGGTAACTTTACAAAATGTTCAGATCCATAAGTAAATTTAAAGTATTAAGTTTGATGTGGACCTAAACCATATCCCTTAACTATGACAAAAAATTGGTTAAATCATTAATATAACACTTGGAATAGAAGAAATATTACACCTCTCGGAAGAATATATATCATTAAGTCCCTTCCCATGATTTAACCATATTTTCATATCCTTGCTAAATTCAGATGAATCTTAAATAATAAAAAAATGCAGAACTTTAAAATTTTTATGGAATGGTAAAACAGACAATATAAAAAGGCCTATCATGAAGAAGGGATTAAAATTATACACTTACTATCATTTAATGACTTTAAAATGGCCTGGATACGTAGGCTGTATACAACAGATGGAAAATGGCATGGATTCTTCAAAAGATGCGGAAACAAGGAGATTCTAGCTAACTGCGGTAATGAATATATTCATAAATGAAAACAAAACTGTAAAAAAATCATTTTGAAAATACGTATTAACAAGTTGGAGTAGGTTAGGAAAAAAATGGAAAGTCTTAAATATTCAAATGAAGCCATTCTTGAAATATTCATATCAAGATCATGATAGTGGAGTTTTCTTGTTTTGTTTTTTTATGTAGTTTTAATGAGTTTTCGTAGAAATTCAACATACATACCAATTTCAAAATATTTTTGCATGAAGATATCTGATACCCATATGACCCAAACATAATTTAAAATTATTTATTAAGAATAAAAAGGGAATTAAATATCTCTATAATGTATTTTATCAAAATAATTCCATATCTACTGGCAGAATAAAATGGGAGGACATATTTGAATTTGACAAAGATAAATGAAGACAAATATATATATTATATAAATACAAAGTTTCAATGGCTCCAATTCAGAATTAATCAATACATTTTAAACAATTAACATACATTTATATAAAATTGGTCTAGCAGATAGTCCATTTTGTTTCCATTGAAAAACTGAAAGTAAAACCATTGTTCATGCTCTTTGGGACTGTGAAGAAGTAGATATTTTTATCAAATTTTGAGTCTTTATTAGATCTGTTATTGATTATCTTTGGTTTATATGATAAAAATAACAGTTTGGATAACTTAGTAAGTCTAATCTTGAAACAATATAAATACCAGACGTCTGCACACTAAATTGTCCATTTCTATCCTAAATAACACAATTAAAGCTATGTATACCACTCAAAAATATATTGTTTTTGCAAAGGTGAAAATGATCTCCTGAACTTGAAAGAAAAAAAAAGGAAAAAATGGGAAAGATCATTAGAAACCACATAATTAAATGATAAAAACCGTATAATTCGCCTTGCCTAGTACCGGATGTTGTAACATTTAATCTAATATATGTATGAAAGTTTATTATAATATAACTATTAAGAAAAGGAACCTTCATTACTACTTAAGCACCTTCTTTCTCTGTTCTTTCTATCATCTTTTATCTATAACTGTTTTTTTCTTCTTTCTCTCTTTAAAGCATGTTTTTCAGCTCTTGATGTCCTGATTCTGCTCTGCTTTAGTTACATGTATAAATATATACTTAGATGTATGATTTCTCGTGTATTTAAAAATATAGAATTATCATCGTGTACACTATGTCATCATTCATAGTGTTGGTATAATATTTTTGGAGGAAACCAGGAAAACACTAATTGAATTGTGACAATAAATCTTTCCTACTTTTATTTGCTGGTGTTAGATACTTTCCTAAATGATTAAGTTCTTTTATATTTTCAACTTTGAGTAACTGAATGAATTTAAACATTCTAGCTTAATAAAAATGATATGGTGTAATAAAATTGGTACAAATATCTGCATAACACTTACATTTGATAATAAAATGATATTCGTCTTCTATATTGTTCTCATTACATAAAATAGACTTTCTTTCCTCCCCTAGTACGTCCCTGTAACGCCGACGTTCATGTACATATAAACGGATCTTAGAAATAAGTTTCTGGAAATTAGAATTAACTGACTTTTGTAGATATGACTGGAGGTTTTAATACTTTTAACCAGATGTCGGTATAAAAATCCTTTAGATTAAGAATTAACTTTCACGTGCGCGATATGTCCTTAATGTTATGTTTTTAACCAGTGAAGTACACATTTGGAGTGTCCAAGTTTGATATTGGTGTACTGACTTCTTTTCCATCATCGCATAACATTGATTTTGTAATTTGTAAAATGAAACAGGTGATTGATTCTATTGCACAACGTTTTAGACCGATGTCACAAAATAACTTACACCAAAATAATTGTACAACAAAGAAAGTTGTATATGACTACAGGACATTGGGTGGTGTCGCTACTGTAGAATTTCACGGAACACGGAAAACATCTGGATCATTGATACGCATGATAATATATATGTAATAGTGTCTTACTGATAAGCGTCAAAATGACAAAGAAGAACTATCGTTTTTTTTTTCCATTGACATAATTAAGTTTTTAAGTGGAAGATAACTGAAGTCTTCTCATCTTAGCCCGGAAATAAATTTCTAATTTTTTCAAACAAGGAAAGTGACATTCTGGTTTCATTGTGTATCATTTCTGTAGTGTTACGTTGTGTTAATAAATATATAACAAAAAATGATTGGAAAAATTCCCATCAATATGATCGCCACTGATGAGGTATGACCGTTAATAGAACAGGTGACATGAGTTTTTTATTATTAACGCCTACTGGCCGCCAGGCATATACAACATTTACCTGTACAGGTATACCGTCACGGTGCGTTGTCGTTGATGCCCCGAGGGTTAATTAGCTCTATCGCACGTTTTTGGGGCCTAGCCTGTTATGCATGACTAAATCTTCTCGAGAGACAATACTTCTAGGTATGTTTGTCTCCAATGGATGACCATGCCAAGTTGGAGTAATGGAATGTCGTCTGTGGAGATGAGAGAATGTTAAGATTTATATATATAAGATAGCTACTTTCGGTTTTTTTTGTGTTTCTACGGAGGCAACAAACGTGAAGTTCATCTTTCTTATGCCTATTCCCAAGATACAGGATTTTATAAGTTACGACATGTATCATTTGGAGAATATTACCCTTAATTCTTTATATGGTTAACGGATGTTTGACAGATTCACAGCGGATAACGTTGTCCAAAATGTGCACGAATGGAAGTGATTCCCTGTTTGATGTAATAAGGACAGAAAGGATCAAATGATGGAAACTCCGGCATGGGTCAAACGTTTCGAGGATGAATCACAATCAGGACTTTCTTCATGTGTCATTCCATCAACTTCCAGGAAGACCGAATCGTCGTGGAGTTTTGGCAGTCTCTCAGACCAGGATCTGGTAAGTGATGAAATACACTTGACCATTGCTGAAACATTACATTTCTGTTTTTATTGAATATACTTGTACCTTAATAATCATCATCTTACCACCTACACTTCTTATAAAATGTCATTTGTATTTTTTCCTATTCTTTTAGAAGTTTCGATCCAATACAGAATCTACAAATCTAACCCCATGCTTAACATACAGAATAACTTCCACAGGAACTAGTTGATACATGATGTAAATGTTTAAATGAAGACTTAATGTCGCCATTATCATCTTCGCTTTGTAATATGAATATTATCATATGTGTTGTGTTGTAAAGTGTACATTTTGGTTTTGTTAACACTTTGAGAACGTTATATTATACTGTCATGGCCGATATTGAAGGTAAATATATTCAACCCCCGGAATATTTTATATCAATACCTATATATGTTATCACGTCCTAACTTAAGAGGTAATCCTAAATTCTCGATGATTAAAGTTTTTAGCTTTCTTGTATCTTATATTTTATTCCTTCATATATTTGGCAATTAAAGGTCAAATGGACAAACGTCAAGACATTTAAAAGTAAACTTATACATAAGGAAAAACAGCACAACTTTCTTTGGAATTGTGTTATGTTATTGCGGTTTACTTGCCGTTAGGCAGTTTAAGCTGAACAGTCTACATCGGATGACTATATTTTCAGATATTTTCGATATGTATTAATGGTTTATTGTATGCTGAACTGATTTATCCGCTATATGTATTGTGGTGCATAACTGATTGAGTCGATCTGGTCTCATAAAGGAGATCGAGATGGCATCTAGAACTTATTTTGTTATACAGAGAACCGGGATATATGAATATTTAATTACCTTGGCGTGTTGTTGAAATTTATTACCGTATGCTCCAGAAATAAATTATCATATAAAAACTACGCCGAACAATAAGCCATTTGTATAAGCATTGCAGAGGTCAAAGGTATTTTGAAACTTGTCGTGTCCCATTGACAAGTGATGCCGAGAGCTTATATCTAAACAATGCGAATCGAGGTTAAATCTGATAAAATAAATGAAAATCTAGAGATTATTTGTTATCACCCACTGTTTTTCCGTAGGGCAGGTCATTCATACTAAGATGTTGCACACATGTTTCCCTGCTAACTACTATGTATACCAGGGTCAAATATTCAGTCGTGTACCTACATGGCATGACAAGTGAAGTATACATCTAGTTGTCTGGAGAATGTCCACGAGTACACAAGTAAACAGTAGTTCTTATGGTGTACTAATGTCCAGTCAGTTCAAAATGTTCATGAGTGCACCTATCGTTCTCTCGAGAATGTCCTTAACTAAATTACTTATGGTGTACTAACATCCACTTAGAACATCGCTAAGAGCCCACCAGTTAGATGTATTACTGGCAGTGTGTCCACCACTATACATCTAGATTTCTCGAGAATGTGCATAACTCCATCTACATCAAGTTTTCTAAAATATTACTTACAGTGTGTAAACAACAACATAAGTTATCAATGTAAAACGTTCACGATTTCTCAGTATTACTGACGGTGTGTCAGCGATAACACAAGTTATGAATGTAAAACGTTCACGAGTTCCAGTATTACAGTGTGTCAGCGATAACACAAGTTATGAATGTAAATCTTTCACGATTTCTCAGTATTACAGTGTGTAAGCGATAACACAAGTTATGAATGTAAAACGTTCACGATTTCTCAGTATTACAGTGTGTCAGCGATAACACAAGTTATGAATGTAAAACTTTCACGATTTCGCAGTATCACTTACGGTGTGTCAACAACAACATAAGTTAAAATATGACATTTTCACGAATTATCAGTATTACAGCGTGTTCACATCTACAAATCTAGTTTTCTTGAGAATGTGATATACTTTTTATAACATATACAGTACATTGGTGTGTGACACTTTCTATAACATCTACAGTACAGTGGTGTGTGACACTTTTTATAACATCTACAGTACAGTGGTGTGTGACACTTTCTGTACTACAGTATAGAGGTGTGTGACACTTTCTATAACATCTACAGTAGTGGTGTGTGACACTTTCTACAACATCTACAGTAGTGGTGTGTGACATTTTCTATACTACAGTATAGTGGTGTGTGACACTTTCTATACTACAGTATAGTGGTGTGTGACACTTTCTATAACATCTACAGTATAGTGGTGTGTGACACTTTCTATAACATCTACAGTATAGTGGTGTGTGACACTTTCTATAACATCTACAGTACAGTGGTGTGTGACACTTTCTATACTACAGTATAGTGGTGTGTGACACTTTCTATACTACAGTATAGTGGTGTGTGACACTTTCTATACTACAGTATAGTGGTGTGTGACACTTTCTATAACATCTACAGTATAGTGGTGTGTGACACTTTCTATAACATCCACAGTATAGTGGTGTGTGACACTTTCTATAACACCTACAGTATAGTGGTGTGTGACACTTTCTACAACATCTACAGTAGTGGTGTGTGACATTTTCTATACTACAGTATAGTGGTGTGTGACACTTTCTGTACTACAGTATAGTGGTGTGTGACACTTTCTACAACATCTACAGTATAGTGGTGTGTGACACTTTCTACAACATCTACAGTAGTGGTGTGTGACATTTTCTATACTACAGTATAGTGGTGTGTGACACTTTCTATACTACAGTATAGTGGTGTGTGACACTTTCTATAACATCTACAGTATAGTGGTGTGTGACACTTTCTATAACATCTACAGTAGTGGTGTGTGACATTTTCTATACTACAGTATAGTGGTGTGTGACACTTTCTATAACATCTACAGTGTAGTGGTGTGTGACATTTTCTATACTACAGTATAATGGTGTGTGACACTTTCTATACTACAGTATAGTGGTGTGTGACACTTTCTATACTACAATATAGTGGTGTGTGACATTTTCTATAACATCTACAGTATAGTAGCGTGTTTCTCTATCTATGGCTTCATCTAGGTTATGACGACCATCTCTAATTTTGAATGGGACAGAGTTTGTTATCGTTATTCTAGAGAAGTACTTTTGATGTTTATCAAACTTGATTTGTACGTTCATTCTAGTATCTTGTTATACCCGTCTTTATTTTGGAACCGATCAGAAAAACAAAATGACTGACTCGCGGCCATCTTGGATTTTTATTATGAAAGTTTGTTATTGCTATTGCTTGAGGAGCAGGAAGGAGGCCTTTCTCAAAATATGTAAATAGTTCCCCCTTGGTCCTTATTTTTATTACTGATTAGAAAAATCATGGCCGACAGAACCATTCTTAATCTGGAAATAAAAGAATATTTTCAAATTTAATGTAAATAGCACAAAACAAAGAATATAAAAAAGGGGGGGGGGGAAACCTCTAAAAGAAAATATAAACATGAAATGATCACGGACGGCAAGATCCCTTTGGGATAGCAAACAATTGCCTATGCGTCTTTATTAGCTTTTTGAAATCTAATTTGCTCCTTTGAGATAATTTTTCATTTGTCATTTTTCGGTTATTTAGAAGTGATATTAACTAATAACGATGTTGAGAGTATGGGTGTCATTTACATCATAAATCGACAGAGATGGGCGTGACCTTCTCTAACAGCTGACAGATATTGACGTTTGATGACTCTACGACTGTGTCCCTCCCACGTAATGATGCTCGGCTCCTTGATAGCTAATTATCGGTTTGCACTAGCTGGGGTTTCCTGTGCAGGTATCCATGTACAATTGCATGACGTATTGACTACATTTACATTGTTGTGAACGAAATCAAATTCAATAGTTATGATATCGAAGATAAATCACTGCAGATCTGGGATTAGATAAAAAAAAAAAAAGGTATTTCCATGTGGGAATTATTTTGTGTTTTTCTAACTTGATGAACAAGAACAACAAAGGAAAAAATTAAGAATAAAATCCAATTTAAAACTAATAAAACATTAACGATCAAAGAACGCAAAAACAAATACACGAAGACTCTTGGACAAAACAAAATAGGAATCAAACACTTCTTTATACATTTTCAACCATGAAGTATCAGATGATACGTTAGAAATATAAATGATATTTCCATTGAGTGTAGATAAAAAGCTTCGGATAATCGCTTATTTTTGACCGATCAGATTTCAGTTTTTGTAGTGAAAATATCAATTCTTATATTGCAGACTTTAGAAACGATAACTTCAATAGAAATAACACTATAAACTGATGTGAAACTCGCTTTGATATAATGTATTGATCCTGGTCAAGTGTATTTAATCAGAATGTTTTGTGATCTTAGGTATATTAGTTGAAGGTTTGCGTATTAGATGTGAAACATGTACGGTGGAGTGATGTTAATAGATAACACATATAACAAAGCAGCTAATTCAACCAGACTTAATGAACTATAACGAAATGATGCAATGAAATGTATATTTACTTTTCGTTTCAGGGAGAAATTATGGTAAGCTTTCGTCTCCCAAGAGTATTTACTATGGGTTTGCTTGAATTAATTAGAATCAGTTTCAAAATTTAATAATTAGATGGATAGTATTCCTTGAATACATGCGTCAGTAGTACAGGCCGATTAAGTAATACAAGGAGACATTCCTGAATTGATATAGTGTACTAAGTGAATGTCATTGACGGTGACAGGTAGACCACGACTTAAACATGGCTCCAGGTAAATCATAATCTAAAAATAACCTCTATGGGACAGAAAAGGATTTATTGTGATTGGCGTGTGTTTGTTAAAGTCTATGAAGGGAGCATTCATTTCACCAAAATAATCTGGAAAGAGGGTGCTAGTTTTACCAAAATATAGATTTTTGTATGTTTATGTGAAGAAAACATCTGTTTTACCAAAATATAGAAAACAGATTTATTTATATTTATGAGAAGGAAACATCTATTTTACCAAATTATAGATAACTGATTTATGTATATTAATGAGAGTGAAACATCTTTTTTTACCAAATTATAGATAACTGATTTATGTATATTTATAGGAAACATACATATATTTTACCAAAATAAAGATAACAGTGTATATTTCCTACTTTTCTCATTTGTATATATTATCAACATTAGTTTTTTTTCAAAATTACTATAGGATAAAAAATTTGAAATGGCATATCGTTGCCTGATAATAAAGACTGAATATAACATAGAAGTCCGATTTTTTATTTCAAGGCAAATTTTGTCTCTGCTGTTGTTTATTCATTATCTAAATCGAATGTTTGCACTGGCTTGAATTATCCAAAATGAAAAAAAAATAAAAACATCATTTCGACGCGAAACGTCTTTCGAGCTTTTGTCCTATTAAATGCATGTAACCATGGTAAATACTAGCCGAAATATACCGCTCGGCTGGAGAGAACATCTCTTTAGATCGATCGGTTTAGGGTAAGACTAGTAGAGCGGAGGTTCCTGATTCGAATCCTAGCGGGGACATTAAAATAAGTAATGCTCTCTGTTACATGCATATATCACAGTACTTATTAAACTTCTTTTTTCTTTCAGAGATCCCTGCACCACTCGAATACTTTCTCAAATGATTACTGTGATGGATTGTCCCCGGAAAAAGAATTCCCCTGCCTACAGAACATTCAGTCCGAGTGTTCGTTGGCAGAGAAAGAAAGACGAAAAAAGAAGAGAAGACGACAAATTGATGAAACGTCTGGATATAGTACAACATCTCTGAGTGAAATGTCGGAGTTCGAAACTTCCGCAAAGACAGGAGATCGTCGGCGTAGTTCAACTACACATCACTTGTACGTTGGGAAAAGGCGAGAGTCGCCATCTGACAATCGTAGCGATAAAAGTAGGCGTGAAAGTGCAGTTTCAAAATCACATTCAAATAGACATTTAAATGAAATTTCCAAAGGGTCATCCCGAACTGATATGGAGAGAACAGGACACAGAATTCCGAGAGTTCCTTCAACTGCGGAAAGCATTGGCAGTTTAAATAGTGGTCGGAGTGCGCGGAGCAATCATACCCACCGAAGCAATCACTCTAAATCACATATACACACTTCACAGACGAAACTGGCTAGTTCAGTATCTACAGAACATAACCCTTTTGCCTTTATACAGCCCGCTCCTGAATCTTTTAGTTCTCGTTTTCGAAAAACAATGAGACCCTGCATGGGGGTATTGATTATGCTCATATTAGCTGCAAGTCTCGGAGCTGCCATCTACTTCGCGATTGAACTAAAAAGTGGGTATCTATGATCATTTCTAATTCTAAATATAGTAATTTAAGTTCAATGATTGTATAAAAGACACATAAATTGAATGACATCTTTTCATACAAATTTGGATAAAATACAGCAGAGTCAAACGATGCATTAAACTGCATCTTACTGCTGTTTTGTCCTTATAAGTCTCGTCTATGGTTTAAAATACAACAATGATGTATTTCCCGCTGTAGATTTGCTAAACAAGCACTTGCCATTTTCACGTATATCTAATATATCCTTTATGTGTAGAAATTGAATGTTTGACTTTATTTCAAATTATTGCAGAAACACACGAAGACGAAATAGGTAAGTACACCAACGTCTTGTATTCCTTTGTCCTTCCTTGAAAACCTTTATTAAATTTCTGTTATGTGCTAACATCTCCTTTGTGTTTGGGTGAAGTTTAATGTTATATGTATTGGAATCGTAACTATATGATCACGTTCAGTATGTTAGTAATCTTGCACGACAATCGATGTTTTGGCACCGTCGCAAATGACTTCAGTATTACTGTTGCTTTTAGCAAAAGTTTGATTTTCTGCAATGGAAACTTTAGGCATATGTCTGTATTATTCATACCATTGTACAGGGATACCTTACTTTTTTGAAAGTTTTACACATCTTAATAACCTTCCTTATAAACTATATAAAGACTTTTTCATTATTCGGACAAACAAACTTGATTAAAAATTGATTTTTTTTTTGATAAAACATTTCTCACATACTGATTTTCAAAAAGAAAGTAGAAACACTATGTTTGATCCAAACAGCACCGTAAGTGTAATTCAATGGGAAATATACCAATGTTTTTCCTTTGTGATTTATCTACACCACATACTATACGAAATATATTTAAAGTTTGTGCATTAGCAACATGTGCACTGAATCCTATAAGTCGTGATTATTGTTTCTGTGCATTCCTCACGTGCAAGCTTATTGTGACGTAATCAAGATCGTCTTTTAAATCGATTTATACAGATTTACTACAGATTAAATATAGTATTTTTTCAGACTTTGCATTACATCTTCCATATATACTGGATAATTCAGTAGATTTTTAAATCAGTCCTGAATACTTTTTTAATTAGAATTGCCCTTTTAAACGTTTATATTTTGTATCCCATTTATTTATAGATATCATTATTATATAAACTAAAGCACTCTCAAACGAGATAACATTAATTGATTATATGTTATGTAAATCGATAGCGAATGATAAAAGCACGCTCAATCTGTCTTTGCTGTTATTATTACCAAAACGATCATGATATATAATACCAAATCTGACCTTTTAGAAAGCAAACTCTGGTAAGTATAGATTGTGCCAGGACCACACACCCACGTCATTAAACATTTTGAGACAGTATCAAACTCAACCCTTTTGAATATAAATTGTGAGAAAGTACCACAAACAGCCATTGTTTGTACATATCAACAGACAGTACCATGCACCAACTCTTGATAACATAAAATTGTGTGACGGTGCCACACAACTCCCTTATTGATATATATTGTGAGACAGAAGCACACATCTCTATTGTTAGCATACATTGCGAAACAGTACTGCACATCGCCCTTGATTGTATGATTTTTATGTGGTATGTTAAGTAGAACGAAACCTTTGTCCGTGTTTCTTGTCTGTAACGCCCAGCAAATGTCATTTCTGACTGCATGGCATATAACACGGCTAGTCACCTCACCGTTGTGCTAATAAAGGTGTTTAGAACTGAAATAACATATGAATATATCACCTGTATATTGTATAATTGTATACGACGAACATCTTAATTCGTCTCTATCTGATATAATTATGTGTTAGGGATATAATATAATAGACACATAGGTAAACAACAAGCTCGTTTGTCTCACGTACAGTTTTGGATATTAATAAAATAAAATTATATACGATATAGCCAAATAATGAATTTTTCACACCGCTGTTTCGTCCTTCTTGGATACTAAGGGTGTCTTTTTGAAAGACAGGAGGTAACTTGGGAAAATCGAAATTAATAGAAATCTTTGCCAATAAACAGGAGAGGGATATGCATAAATCTGAAAGGTAGTATATTTCATATGAATCATTTCTCAAGAACGTCATGATCATATGTATATTTTGAACCGAGACAATTTTCGAATGAATTTATACATTTTGTACAGGAACGCCGGAATTAGTCAGTAGTATATTATATATTGGTTAGTGACAGATAACTGAATTCGTCACCTCTCTGTTATATTATGTTCAACATCTAACTCGTTACCAACATCTTCAGAACCTTACAAGTACCCTGTAACGCTATTTGCTGTATCTCTTTCGTGCATAATGTTAAAGTTGATATAAAATACAGGCAACATTACTACCATACACGAAGTTAATCAACAAGTTCATACCACCATGTTCCGATCGCCTGGGCGTGTCGACATTGTCACTTAACGTGGCCTCTATATTAAATCATGTACTGTTTTAATTAGCAGTGTAAATGCCACAGGTGAGGACACTGACGAAAAATTTGTTTTATAGGCCAGTAGAGGAAGTGCTGTATTTCTAACTTACAATTAGTTAAGTAGAATATAGCTCGCTTCTTTAATGACTGTCACTTTTATTTGGTGTGCTAATAGTTCAGTAAACGCAGGTGGTGTTTATGTCACCGATACACATACCTAGTCATATTTCCAAATTGATGAATTTTAATGAATATATCGATAATGTCCGGAATCCGATCCTTTACAAATGGAATGAATAATGAGGTTAACAGTCAACTATTTGTGCCGTGTCATTTTATGTGGAACCTAATTTCAAGAAGTTCTGTTTTGGATGTTCGTTTTTTACCTCAGCATTCGCTGAGGATTTCTGGAAATAAATAAATATTTGTTTATGTAATTTAGCTCACTATGCCATATATATTCTATTGTTTCATGGATAAGAATTGATCAGTGTTACGGCCTAAGTCTTTGGTGCTAACAATTACATCATAACGGTATCACTGTTGACCGGTCACTAGAGAGTTCATCTGTGACGAGGCAATCACAAAAGTGACATAAAAGTAAAACTTGTCAAATGTATTTTCATTCTTGTGGGAGTTAATTGTATAAGAAACAGCACATCCTATATTGCATATTGAGTAAAGAAAACATAAATAAGAGATGGTAAAATAGAACAACCTGTATGATTTGGAATACTCTTTCTAACCACAATCCAATTGCTGCTTTCTCTAGAAAAATAATGCCATTTTACATTCACATTCTTGTTATTTTCGTCTTTTTCCTTCCAAAAGACTCTCTTTTCAGTACTTCTATTTGGCATTTGTCTTAACTCTATTGCAGCAGATATTGTGTATTTTCAAAGATGAAAAGGTTTAATTATAGTTTGTAGCTACCAATTTCTGCTAGACTTTCCTTCTTTTAATGAGGGCATTCTCTACGTGAACAAAACTGATACAAGAAGATTTGTGTTCATTTAACGGATGAAGAAAATTCCATTATCTAGATCTGATGGTCTACATATAATATACTTGCCTGTTTTTGTACAATCATCGTTTGGAACTCATTAAAGAACAGTTGTATCCTTATTATAATGCACTCGTATTATTGGCATTTTATCTGCTTCTTTTCAGAAATGTTACGTGCCAATTTAGCTGTAAAAATAAAGAATACGCGATACGGCAAATCATTGGATGAGTTGATGCAATCAGACTTCAAAGGGCTTGCATTAGACTATTGCCAACAGGTATGAACTAGTAATCAGTTATTTATATGGTAAACAAGTTGTTACATTTCTGTTCCATATATGGGTTTGTACAACTACAATATATTACGTCCACCTGTTCAGAATGAAATCAGTAAAAATAAAACATTAACAAATTTAAAGATATGTTAACACAAAAAATTGCTACTTCCATACATTGTGACTTTTGATATGTTATTGTTATAGTTATGCTATAGATAATATGATACCATCCATAGTGATAAAATGAATATAGATAAAATATATGCCTGGTTATTGTGTTATTTTCATAACTCTTACCCAATCAGAACGTTGCTTTTCATTTTGCCATCTTTTTTCCCGTTCAGATTCAAATGAAACAGAATTAAACTAAGTGACTGTTTTATAAGACATTTTATATATAGACTTGAGGTTTTGTAAAATCAAGAGTGACTACATTTTTATCCGCATCTATTGCAGTTATTCGTAGCAAATGCAAGAATAAGTCTTCAGTAATATTTTAAATAGAAGTTAATACAGTTTAAACAAAATAAATTGGGGATATGCAGCTGAACTTTTTCCATGTGCATTACTTTGCCTGTTGATTCCGTTGTTGTGTATTTTGTTCTCATTTGAGGACTTGACATTTCTTACTTTGACTGACTAAAATAATATATTGGGTGTAGTCGATGAAGCAGAAGACACATACTCTTCCGGAACACTTGTTTTTATTCTCCTTGTACTTGTTCAGGAGTCTGAGTGGAAATCTTTTTTTGTTCCTATATTGTCGTAGTTGTATTGAATCTGCCTTACAGTATCATGTGCATTCTATAAAAATCATTCCAATAAACATCTGGCATTCTACAACTAAAATGACGGATACAAGGACGACATATTGTTACATCATGTTGATGCCTAACCTAACATTTCACACATAACACCTTAATTAGTACATTCTGGAAAATGTTGTACTCAGTTCATATGTAGATACTAGTTACAAAACAAATTAATTTTATTGGAGATGAATAGGTTCGTGGCCAAATTTCCATTGTTTATGGGAGAAGGGCCAGTAATACCTTCCAGCAGGGTCACATTGGATGTAGGTTCCTGTCAGTAGTGATGTCGCAATAGAATAATTGTTTCGTGATTGTACACTGCTGAACGAATGAATAATGCTTTTTTTCTTTAGTTTTTGTAACATATTTATGTAATCAATACAACCTTACGGTCCTTTCAGTTGTTAAAAACACTCAGCACAGTTGTGTTATTAATGTTTGTCGGAATCAAACAATATATAAATCAAAATCTCAGACTGAATTAAGAAGCCGTACATAAAACTGTATTCGTGCTATATGCCGTGTATATATTACCTATATATCATTTATATGTATACATTTTAATCTATTAACTAATGGTTTTCAGATGGATCGTTATTATCAACGTAGTCATTTCAAAACTACATACAGAGGGTGTGAAGTTATTTCCATCAAGTAAGTACGATATGATAACTATCGAACTTGTGAGTTTATTTAATATTTCATTAAATGCACCTGAAGCTGAATTTTGTTCTTCTTCTTAAAAACGCACAAAGATGTTTTAAATCATCATGTGACTGTTTTCCTAACTTTATCAATACACACGAAATCAATAACTACTACCAAGATGTATGAAGCTGTCCATATATATCCAGTAAGTCACGTGGTTGTATCTCTGCTTTCTCTTTCCTCTGCCTGGGATGTTAACTAACTATAGAAAAAAGGTAAAGTCTAAGTGCATACCAGGTATAAATGGCCCTCATAGTTGCAATAATAGTATATCTTATACTCAATACTTACCTTTGACTCGAGTTATTTTATGTATGAAACTAGATAACATTGGTAGGCTATATTATGATCAATTATACCCAGGCCCAAGTTATATTTGCTTATTATTGGCTCAGAATTATGGATGCTTTTATAGTACACACAGTTGTTAAGTCTAATGCATTAGACCAATACAGATAATATGAAATCTACTGGTATATTAGCAGCTAACTGTCAAGGCTTGGGTGATCATAACAAAAGAAAAGATGTTTTCTCATTTTTACGAAATAAAAAATTTAATATTTATTGCATTCAAGAAACACACTTTACTAATGAAATGGAAAATTCTGTAAGGTCTGAATGGGGTTATGAATGTTTTTTTTAGCTCTTACAGATCAAACTCAAGAGGGGTGGCAGTATTAATTAATAATAATTTTGAGATGAAGGTAATTAAAGAGAAGAAGGATAATAGTGGAAATTTTTTAGCATTAGATATGTTAATAGAGGGTAAGAATGTGACTTTGATAAATTTATATGGTCCAAATACAGATAGTCCACATTTTTATGAACAGGAAGTTGATGTTGTGAATGAGTTTAATAATGAATTCCTTATTATATGTGGGGACTTCAATCTTGTACTTAATCCTGACATAGACTATGATAATTCTTATAGACAAGTAAATAATCCAAAAGCTAGGGACAAAGTAATAGAGATGATGAACGAAATAGGGTTAATAGATATATACAGAGATCAACACGAAGACTCTAGAAGATATACTTGGAGAAGAAGTAATCCAAGGAAACAAGCTCGACTAGATTTTTTCCTTATTTCCGAAAACATGCTGCCCAGTATTCAGAAATCAAGCATAGACTCTGGTTATAGATCTGACCATTCAATACCTACAATATCTTTTAAGTTTAATGATTTCAAAAAAGGAAAAGGACTATGGAAGTTTAATAACTCTTTACTTCATGATATAGACTTTCTGCAAATAATCAACAAACACATTACTGATATCAAGAAGCAGTATGCACTACCTATATACAACCTAGATGCTATTCAGACAATACCAAACAGTGATATTCAATTTACCATCAATGATCAACTTTTCTTAGAGACACTGCTGCTTGAAATTCGAGGAAAAACCATATCATTCTCTGCATAAAAGAAAAAACTTCAAAACCAGACAGAAAACAAACTAATCAAAACAATAGAAACCCTAGAATCTAGTGATAACATAGATTATACATTATTAGATTCTAAAAAAGAAGAATTAAGAAAAATTAGACAGCATAAACTAAAAGGAAGTATTATTAGATCTAAGGCAAAATGGACAGAGGAAGGAGAAAAACCATCAAAGTATTTTTTGAACCTTGAGAATAGAAATTTTACTTCAAAGATAATTCCTCAGATAAAAAAAGAGAATGGAGAAATTGTAAGGAAACAAGAAGATATTTTAAATGAAACAAAGCTTTTTTATGAAAAACTTTATGCAGGTGATAGTTGTAATATTCATGATATGAATTTACAAGACTTACGTGAAATGAATATTCCAAAACTTAATCAATTTGAATCACAAAGTCTAGAAGGTTTACTAACTATTAGTGAGGCTTCTTATACATTGAAGAAAATGAAAAATAATAAGAGTCCAGGCTCTCTGTAGAATTTTTTTAATGTTTTTGGAAAGAACTGGGTGATTTTGCTGTTCGATTAATTAATTATGGTTTCTTCAATAAAAAAACTCTCTGTAACTCAACGCCAAGGAATTATCACTTGTTTACCAAAAGGAAATAAACCTAGACAATTTATAAAAAAATTGGAGACCAATTTCACTGCTAAATGTAACATATAAGATAGCATCAGGCTCAATCGCAAATAGAATTAAAACAGTCCTAAATAAATAAATAGATTTAGATCAGTCTGGTTTCATTGAAGGTCGATATATAGGAGAAAACATCAGGCTCATTTATGATACAATGCAATTTGCAGAAGAAAATGATATACCGGGTCTTCTATTAGTTGTTGATTTCGAAAAAGCATTTGATTCGGTTGATTGGAAATTTATTGACAAAGTACTTGACTTTTTTGAGTTTGGTGAAGATATTAGGAATTGGATAAAACTTTTTCTTACTCAACCATGTTCTTCTATTAATTAAGGGGGGAATTTGTCAACATTTTTTGAGATTAAAAGAGGGTGTAGACAAGGGGATCCAGTTTCCCCTTACCTATTCATTTTATGTGCAGAAATCTTAGCGATAAGACTGAGAAATAATGAGAATATAAAAGGTATTCAAATAGAGAATACACCTATTCTTTTATCACAGTATGCAGATGACACCACTATCATTTTAGACGGTTCCAAGAAGTCGCTAAAAGAAACCTTACGTGAATTAAATGATTTTGCTAAAATATCCGGTTTGAAAATAAATGCCAGTAAAACCCAAGTTATCTGGATTGGAAGTAAAAAATATAGTCAGGAAGTCTTTTACCCTGAACTCAATCTACAATGGGGAGACCATAAGTTTACCCTATTAGGTATTGATTTCCATGTTGATCTACACAGAATACCAAAACTGAATTTCGATAAAAAAAACTTGTGAAACTTAAGGCAATTATCAAAAACTGGAGTAGGAGAGCCTTGACTCCATTTGGGAAAATACATGTTATGAAATCGCTTTTAATTTCACAATGCAATAATCTTTTTATATCAATACCAAATCCAAATGAAAGCTTCCTAAAATGCATTACCACTGAAATATACCATTTTTTGTGGAACAGCAGAAGGGATAAAGTGAAAAGGGAGGTAATTACAAAACGATATGAAGAAGGAGGACTTAAGATGTTAAATCTGGAAAGTTTTGTCAGATCTCTGAAGCTAACATGGGTAAGAAGACTATTAACACAAAGTGGAAAATGGCAGATTTTGTTAAATGCAAACATTGATATAACTATGTTAATGAGTTGTGGACCACAATTTATAAATGAATACCTCAAAATATGTAAAAATCAGTTTTGGAAAGATATCTTTAAAGCTCACATAGAACTTAGCCGGACAGAGGAACTTTTCTCAAATAAGACAACATCAATATTAAAAACACCACTTTGGCATAACAATAAGATAAGAGTGGGGGACAAGACGCTTTTTTTATAAGAAATGGTACTCCAAAGGGGTTATGATAATTAATGATTTGATAAAGGATATTAATTCAGGAGTCTTCTATAGTTTTCAGGAATTTGTAACCAGATATGGCGTGCCAACTAATTTTTTAGAATATCAGGGGGTAATTCATATTGTTAAAAAGCTTATTTCTGACACAGATATTACCAATCATCCGGTTGTATACCCATATTTACCAAAGGCTTTTGAGATTTACTTTAAAAATAAAAAAGGATCAAAAGATTTTTATCTTTTATTATGTCACAACAATACATTGTCTACAGGTAAACAAAAATGGAACACCATGTTTGAATACAGTGACGAAAAATGGAAACAAATATACAAATTGCCTTTTAAAGTAACAAAAAATACCAAATTACACTGGTTACAGTATAGGATAAATCAGCATATTTTAACTACTAACACTTACCTATCAAAAATAGGGATAGAAAATAGTTCTTCCTGTTTCCAGTGTGGAACAGAACCAGAAACAATTATTCATGTCCTATGGGAATGTGAAAAAGTACAAAGATTTTTACAGAATTTTGAATATCTTGTGGACAGTCTTTCGATACCTTTTGCATATAATAAAGAATCCTTTTTATTTGGAATATTGAATAGGAACAATATCAATTTTGTAGTGGACAACACAATAATATTGATAATGAAACAGTACATCTATAGCTCTAGATGTTTAAAAACGGAATTATCTATTCATGGTCTCAAGAATCTAATTAAGGAAACATATTGTGTCCAGAAATTCATAGCTACTGGAAAAGGGAATCTGGTACTGGATGAGTTTTAAAAAGTATGGAGGAAATGGGAAAAGTTAATTGAGATAACTTAGCATCATAAATTTGTGTTTCTAGTATGTGGTTATACATTCCCAGGCAGCTCCCTCTTAATTTCTCTCTCTCTCTCTCTCTCTTTTTCTCTCTCTCTCTCCCTCTCTCTCTCCTTCTGAGATCTATTCCTTTTATGTAGTTATGTGTATTTGTTCTGTGTTTTTTGAGTGGGTGAAGTATGAGTTATAATAACATGTAAGAATGTTTGTATAGGTGTAGTATAGGTAAAGAATGAGTGAATATGTATACATAGTGGAAAAATGAGTGAACACATCCTTCAGGGGAGTTTGTATAGGTGTATGATATATATATGAAGAATTAGTGAAAATGTAGTGTATGAAATATAAGTGAATCAATCTTTTATGAGTGTTTTTGTTATATAAATGAGGTGCAGGTGAAATATGAGTGAATGTAGTATAGGTGAAGGATGAATGAATATATCCTATATAATTAATATACCAGTTGGGAGTGTTGTATAGATGAAGTGAAGGTGATGTATGAATGTAGGTGTATAATGAGTGACTGAAAGAAGAAAAGCTGAATGGGATATAAAATATAAATGAGAAAGTTTGGTATGTTTATTGTCTTGCAATGTATCCTGTTTGAAGAAAAAAATAAAAAGTTACAAAAAAAAGAAGTCACGTGGTTGCCACGTGATGCTACATCAACACTTCGACGGCAAATTTTGCTAGCGCACCTTCATAATCTATATTTACCGACAAAACTGGATACACAACTTGGACATACCTTAAAATGGATTAAAATGGTGTAAATTCTTCTGATTTGTAATCTATGAATAAATTTCATTATAAATACAACAAAGTAATGACTAATTCGGTGATATTTTGACTCAACATTTGCATTAACGAAAAATGTATATTACTTTTCATTGCCTTCGATCCAATATGGTTCCGATAATGTGTTTTGTTTTGAATGACTTACAATAATGAAATGTGCCGCGGAATTTTATAGGGCAAGCATTAATTTCCATTTGTCAATATCAACATTACGAGATCGTTCAGGACATCAAAAACTGGTATAATTATTGATATGTTAGTAATATTTTAGACAGAAATGCCATTAATTTATGTAGATACACATAAAGACTTGGAACATCTTGTCCGATGCTCTCGAATATGCTTTGACACCGGGAAAATATTCTACATTAGAGATACATTGTTCACGTTGTTGTCATGACAGCCGATTATGACTGCGATCAATGCAGGAAATATTGCTGTTTTACCCGAAAGTAGCCGTATTTCATGAAGTCTAAATTCATGCATGCTATGTTTTGATCTTTCTTAACATTGTCTAATATATTTAAACATAATTACACTAGCAAACGGTGCTAACACAGATCTACTCAGTAAATGAAGTGACATAATCGAAATGTATAAATGTCAACAATGTATTTTTTTATAGGAATGAGCACATCAACTTTACCCTTTTCTTCATGGAAAAAGATGCGACAAAAAAGGATATTATATCAGTAATAGAGACTGCCTCACCAAGAGTGGACAAATCGGGACAAAGTGATGCTGTGGAAGATAAATTTGAAATAGAGCTAGAAAATGTTAAAATTAAAATAGAACATAAAAGGACCCCTGTTTCATTTAATAAGTTGAGTGACATATCTACTTCTGAATCGGATAATGCTGCTAAAGACACTGCAAGTCACAAAGAGGAATCCTGGCCTTCCTCAGATAGAGACAGCAATGGAGAGAAGGCGATAGTAACTACAACCACTACACGACCGACGACAGTGACTCCATCCAAAACAGGTAACGTCTTGTAAAATCCAAATCACGTTAAACAACACAGAACAAAACAGGCAATGTCACACATTGTGACAGCGTACAAAAGGTGACACTTTCACTAATATCTTTGCAATATTTAACTTTGTAAGTGAAAAATAGCTTAATTTCAAATGAAATTTAGATAAACTAGAGCAGTTTTATTTTTCATATATTTATTATTAACTAAGAGGGAAAAACGAATGCTGAAAACGTGTGGGAATAGTCACGTGCAACACAAAAAATCTGTCATATTTCAAAAAGAAAATAGTTAAAATGCATATTCAACTGGATAGGTGACTTGAAATAATACTTATACCAGAAACCGGTCTTTGAAAAGCAATAGAAATCATCAAATACTGGCAAAGAATTTTATAACATAATGTCCTATTTTGTTTACAGTAACTTATTTGAAAAGTGTTCCGATCTGGGTAGTTTGACTAGTAGTAAACCTCGAAGTCATAGACTTCACCTACCATAACTTGATGTCACGTTTTGAAGAACCGATTTAAAATAAATGGATTTTAACATTAATTTGCCCTTTACATCGCTGTCGAGTCCAAGAAGGACCAAACAGTTGTTTTACATTGAAAAGTGCCATTCACTTACGCGTTCTTTTGTACGATAGTCTTCTGAAGGAAAACGAAAATAATTGAGAAAAAAAATCAAAGAATTTGAAGAAATATTCAAACTTAACCAATATACCTAATAAAAAAATCAATTCAATGATGGCTGTCTGGTAAAAATCACAAAAACCATGCAAACAGGATTTACTTGCGCGATGTTGGCACGCACTATAGATAGTAAATCTCTTAACACAAGGTTTCGAGAGGTTCAGGTTGATGACAATGGTCACGACAATGATATTATTGAGAAATACATCATTATTGTTTTTTTGTTGTTTTTTTTTTTTTTTTTTTTTTGTGATATGAAGCTGGGCTGGTTCGATGCTCGTTTGAATGTATGGCGGTCTCGTTGTTGTTTACCTTGATTTTGATTTAATTATAACTTATTTATTCAAATTAAAAACAAGACAATAAGATTAGGCTTAGACTTAGAAACGCCGTTTCCCAATAAAATGCAGTTCACATAGATTTGATATAACAATAATATACACTTTCATCAAAGTATGGCCATGGTACACATATTTCAAATAAAAGTGCTTGGAACAGTCCTACTAAAATTGTGTCGAATATTGTAAATCTAAATGCGAGAGCATCATTGACATGAGTCGACATCCAATCTTTCTTGCTTCTTCGATTTTGTTATCGAAAAAAAAAAAATTAAAAGCCAACCTGTCAACATAATTATAAATTAAAAACCAAACTCAAATTCCATGAAACCAGGGCAAAATATGAACAAAAGAAATATTTACAGAGATCTTCTATAAAAGTGCATGAAGAGTAAGACCAGGTGTTCCGAAAGTTTAAGCAATTTCTGCTTCATCGATGACGTCCACTTTGTAAACCTTGGTCAATCCAAGTGAGTAATGTCACGTTCTCGAATGAGAAGAAGGTATACAACAACGGAACCAAAAGGCAAACAAACGAGCATCAAACATGCCCAGATTCATATCGCACAAAGAAAAATAATATATTTTTAATGAGATCACTATAATGAGCATTAATATTTTCAGCAACCTGGATCTTTGTAAAGGAATCTTTAAAGCGTTTTACGAGGAATATTAATTTTGGCTCCGTCCGTACGTCCGTCTGTACCAAGGGTTTTCCGAGCTATAACTTTGAAACCATTTCACGCAACTTTACAAAACTTTCTGTTTATATTAAATTAGTGCCCTAGTTGTGCCTTTTGCTATTGGCGACATTTCATGCTTTATGTCTGTTTCTGTTACCATGGAAACGTAGTCAAAAACACAAAATTAGTGTTAACTTTCCTTTCCGGGCAAGAACTTCGAAACTATTTCACGCAACTTCACAAAACTTCTGTATATATTAAGTTAGTGCCCTAGTTGTGCTATTTGCTATTGACGACATTTCATTTTTTATATTTTTTCTATTTCAATGGAAACATAGTCAAAAACACAAAATCTATTGTTAACTATCCTTTCCGGGTTACAACTTCGAAATCATTCCACTCAACTCCAAAAATATTTCTGTCTTTATATTAGGTAAGTGCTCTAGTTAATTTTTGTTCTGTTACCATGGAAACATATAACCCTCATCGCAAATTTCAGTTTTTCTGAACTAGTGCCCTGAAACCGTTTAAGATAATTGCTCAAAATAGTTAACAAGTATAAAGCTAGTAGTATTTTTTGCTATGGGGAAGTTATCCGTTTACATTTTTTCTGTTACCGTGGAAACAGATAGGACAAATCACAAAGTTAAGTTTTTTTTCAGACCAGTTATCTTGAACCGTTCAAGGTAATAACCCGTTACTCAAAACGTTGTACATACGTCAAGCTAGTACTCTAGTAGAAGTTCTCCATTTCAATATTTTGTATAGAACAATTAAAAGTATCAAATAAAAATTAAACTTGTTGTAATATTAGCATAAATACATGATTGTGTGTCTTTCTTTTAAACAGTGGGGCGCAGGGGATAATATTTTGTATAGAAAGGTGCTATTCATAATCTTCCGTTTATTTTTCTACCGTGCAGATTTGGCGTGGACACCTTGTGCCTTTAAGGATGGCTCCTTCTATCCACATCCCATAGTGTGTAACAAATATTTCCAGTGTGAGCACGGTCAATCTCGACTCCAAACATGTACAGGGGATTTACTGTTTGACGTAACTTCGGCGGTATGTGTAAAGGACAGGGCTAACCTGGTCTGTCCTAATGCAGCTGTTGCACCACCAGCGCCACCGACCAGTCCAGTTAGAGTCACGACCACGACCTCCACGTTTTCCACAACACAAGCGACAACTCAAGAAACACCACATAGTGACACAGATCGGAATAACAGTTCAAAGACGTCATCAATATATCCATCACGACCAGGTGGGTCCCTTGCAATGACGTCACGTTTTATCACATATGTTCCAACAAATCGCTATAGTTTATTTAATTTCGGCATTTAGGTAGCTAGGCCGAATATTCTTTCTGGAGATTTAAGTTACTACAATTTTAAAATCAGCTCAAATTATTTTTTATTAGTTTTTATTCTCCTTCTTCTTGAAACTGTATATGCACTTAACGGCGTTTTACGTCATATGTTGTTATTGTTATCAAGTCAGTTTTAAGGTCTATATCAGACGAAGTTCTGCCTCACAGACATGGTACTTTATTGTAAAGCTAGATTATGATACACGTGTAATTGTCGTCGTATGTATCACACAATAATTTGATTTTTTCTTTCAGCTTATTCCCGAACACCTTGTAAGAAGGGAACCCCCGGCAAACTTTTCCCTCATCCGGACAACTGTCTTAAGTTTATCCAATGTATAAGTCCTAACAAAGGCGTTGTCCAAAAATGTGCAACAGACTTAGTGTATGACCCGGAAGCCATGGCTTGTATTTTCCCGCGGAACCTCGAACTGTTGTGTCCTGATCTTATTCCGTGTGACGGAATAGTCCGCGGATATTTCCCACATCCCTACAACTGTTCTAAGTATATTCAGTGTGAGTCGGGAACTGAAGTGATCCAGTCCTGTAACGTTGGTCTCGTGTGGGATCCGGTGATTAATTCCTGTGTATTTAGAACTCCGTCGAGTATATGTCCAAACGCCACGAAACCAGTATAATGTTTTAAAATACCAAGAAACAAACGCATTGAGATATACTCCCGTGGGCTATGTCGATGTTTAAAGACAAAATATGTGTTGCAGCCCATAAATAGAATAGGAAGATGTCGTTCATTGAATGGAATTAATCTTTTGTCCAAATGTACGTAGAGATTTTTGTCAAGACGTGTTGTGAAGTTATATCAGTAAAAACAAGAAAAATGCAGAAAATAACGTATTAAATAATTAAAACATATCTATGACAAAATAACACAAAGAATATAAAATGTATACCATATAACTTACGTCACGTATAAAGTAACTGGAATCAATATTGTTTTGCACATATTCGGATGAAAGGGTTGAACTATGACAATGTTTTATTGATGTTATGTAATGAGATAGTATGTGACGGTAGTAGAATAGTAATGTATTTGCTATACAAATATTTCTGATATCAAGAGAGAAATAATTAAGTATATGTCTAAAACACAGCGTGTTTGCATATTTTAAACTTTGGGGGAGTTTACTACATAACGTTTATTTTTAAATAACCACTGTAGCTTGGAACGAAACAGAAGACATGATTAAGTCGTACACCGCCTATTACACGTCGGACATGTTAATTAAACATCAGTTAAAACTACACGGGTAATTAATACCGTATGTCACATGATCATTTTGCCACGGGAAACTGTCTGAAGATGACACTTATAAACCCTTAACCTTACTCAACTAAACCAGCCAATTAAAACAGCGACGATAATCATGCTACCAGAGAGAGAGACAGACAGACATATATCTTAACACGTTCAAAATGATGCGCTTATCTTTCTAATGTATGTGTAGATGTTGTTTGTATTTTTCGCAAATATTGTGGATTTTTTCTCGACGATTTGCCAAATCAGAGACTGGATAGAGTTTAACATGACAAGTAACTTTCATGTCTTAAGCATGATCTACTTAAACTAGCGAATTGTCTGCTTGCATAGTGTCTATAAATTGATATAGACCTTCAGACAGTATTCCATCATAAAATTATACCCATGTGAAACTAGTTATAAACAATCTACTTACTAAATTACAAACTATAAGTAAGAAATAAATAACAGTATTAATAGTGACACGTTTTACTGGCTATCTTGTCAGTACATAAGTTGCCTTCCCCTATGCTGTAAATGTAACCAATAAATCGTAATACAAATTTAGCGCAGATTCAAGTTTTTTGGATATAACGTAAAGATGATTTCGTGCATCATTTATAATTAATAACCATTGCTATACTTTTCAGCACAAACAGCGCTAAAGTAATATTTTCGTTAATGTGTGTACCTGAAAGTATTGTCTGTGTATTCAGTTGATATGTAATATGTTTGTATATTACCTCATGTATATAGCTTATTGTGACATCATAATTCGATAAAGGAATGACGTCACGCATTCTCAGATTACATGTTGACGTCACAATGGTCACCATAGAGGAATAGTCTAGATGACGTCAAGTTTGACGTGGAAAAAATACGTGTTTACAATTTTTTGCCAAAAATATTGACCATGTAATATAGACGATATTTAGTTAGTTTCCATGTATACACATATATACACATGTGTGTGTGTGTGCAAGTTGTAGAATTGTGTTTTATCATATCTTGTAGATTCCCTGTACTATCTTTACTACAGATTATATCTATGAATGTATATATAGGATATTTTATTTTCCATATTTAGTTATATATGCGATGAATGTATCAAGAAATAAAATAAAATTACCTACATAACTTGACACTTATGTAACTATATATATTCTCTCAGCTTACAACTTATATATACTCATGTATACAAATAGTGCCAGTTTACAAGTTGTTTAATTCTATTAACGTCAACTGTTATAACAAAGTAAAACTACATTTTTACAAATCGCGTTACATGACATGGCATGTTATTTTTGTACAAAGCCATACGGACAAACGTCATACCAATAACTTCCAAACGTATGAATAAAATTTGTTATACTGATGGTTTTTTTTGTAGATTTAATGAAAGATATCCGCCAACTTCAATTAAAGAAAAGGTACCATACTCAATCAGTTTTGCTACATGATTTACAAACAAGCTTCATTAAGTCAGACAAGTGTTGTCTCGTACATTTTACGATTGATGTACTTTTAATTATAATATACTTAATTAACTATTGTCTTCCATCATTTCTCCACAATATGACATGTCTTGTCCAATGGCATCCATCAACACTATAATTACAGCCTTATGATAAAACCAGCACTTCTTACACCGTATATAGAGTACAATGTTATCTATGTATCTTCACAGAAAGCAAACCAATATATACGGTCTAAATGTACTTGTATGTACTGACAGTACACTAATATGTACAATCTGAATGTACTTGTATGTACTGACAGTACACTAATATGTACGGTCTAAATGTACCTGTATGTACTGACAGTACACTAATATCTAGTCTTAATGTACCAGTATGTACTGACAGTACACTAATATATACGGTCTAAATGTACCTGTATGTACTGACAGTACACTAATATGTACAATCTGAATGTACTTGTATGTACTGACAGTACACTAATATGTACGGTCTAAATGTACCTGTATGTACTGACAGTACACTAATATCTACAGTCTTAATGTACCAGTATGTACTGACAGTACACTAATATGTACGGTCTAAATGTACCAGTATGTACTGACAGTACACTAATATGTACGGTCTAAATGTACCTGTATGTACTGACAGTACACTAATATCTACAGTCTGAATGTACACTATGGAGTATACGATGTGTACGGCCTTATTTTCTGCATGAAGTGGCGTTTGTTATTTAAATAATATCACCATGGCGACTATTAAACAAACAAGTCCACATGCCCGAATGGAACACTGATTTTGTGAACATTTAAGAATAATATCAAATAAAGATTTGATACTGTTGTTTCTTATTGTCTTTTGAATAGAAATACGGAAGTATGATATATTATTACACCTTCATACTGGATAAATTACGCAACAAATGAGGTGACTTTGACAATAGCCTTTTGTTTCAGTCATCACGATTTTCGTGCAGGAAATCTACAATTGACGGACAAACTCGTAACACAGTGTTTCAAAAGATGCAGGCTGATGAAAACTATAGGGAAATTTTACCGTCGTCATGGTGATTTTGTTACTTGTTACTGTGCCTGTTAAATCAGTTGTTGTGTACCTTATTCTAATTTTAGAACCAAACATTACTTACTTGACTGTCACCGATGAAGCAGAAGACAGTTATTGTCCCGGAACATCTAATCTTTTTGTTCTTTTCCTGGAGTTTCCTTGTAAATCTTTCTTTTGGCTATAATTATATTCCATTTATGTTCGTATTATGATTATGTTGTTATTTTCTGAACTGTACTACTATAAGATTATGAACTGAATTTGTTCTGAAACAGTTCGCATAAAACATTTGTATTCGAAATTTGTTGTAGCAAGTGAAATATTAATTTTTCAATGCTTTAGGAAGAATTGTTACCAAATCGCAAGGTTTTCCCAAAGCTCTAATCAAAATAGCATACTAACTAACTTCCTTTCCTCTGTGTTTTGCTTTTCATTTCATTCTGTGTAACACCAAATGTCCCCGCTGATTCTGAATTTGATCAGTGTCTCTGCAAATAATTTTATTATTTATCAAAGAAAACAGAAGAAGACAACACTTTTGAAATAAAACCAACCATGATCACATCAAAGGTTTATTATGAATAAAAGTAATTAATCGGGCGCATTTTACTATTTGATGATTGAAAACGTCGAATTTTAATGAGTGAAGAGGACGTTTCAAAGAGTCATGCTGGCTATTATAAAATGTCCGCTTAGTTTCTACCAATTTCTATCTTTCGAAACAATTTTTTCCCTGAAGAAGTCGACATATGTGAAGAAAATTGTGGTAATTGCAATAAGCCTTGATATTTCTAATCAGACGTGATACGTTGGGTAACGGATGTATGTTAACCAGATAAAATCAAAACTGATCTTTGATGTAGCCTTATCCGACTTTCATTCTTTTTCCCTGTAAATGATATCGGGAAATCTCACCTGACATTGAACAGAGAATCTGACCTTAACTATCAGCATAATATGGATCTTACTAAGTATGTTTAATAACTTGATATGTCACTCATATCACTCATCAAGTCATTTGATAAAATTCAAACATAAAAGTAAACAGAATGTTAGTTATTTGTTTGTATTTGTGAACGCCTGAAACTGACTGATTCCATATATCATATTTCTTATTATACAAAGAACTACTCTCTTCGACATGACATTGTAAAACAAGATCAATTAAAATTGCAAACTTACGATACAAAAAAAAGAAAGGATCAAACAGCAATATAAAAAAATATTTAAAAAAAACCCCATCAAATTGTGGCATTACTGACCATTTTTACAGTATATTCTTTTCATTTAGCGATTTGTTTCTTTCTTCATTATATTAGAACTACGCTACTGTTATTTGAGATATTCAGATATACTGCAATATGTACAGATACCCTATAAACATAAGGCTGCTGGAGAACAAGCCCATATAAACTAGTGCTGTAAACAGAAACTAAATCCTCATTCATGACTCCGAAATTTAATATCAAGCCAAATATCAATCACTTTCTCCTTAAAAAATGACTGCGAGATACACGTTTTACCCTTGAGCCATCTATTATCATTAGGTAAAATATATTACAAGTATTACATCCAAATAGTAGCACTTACATTGTAACTCCAGAACATTATGTACTAGCACTTAATATATTATCAATATATATATAATCACATCAATGTTCCCCACATATAGGAGATGTTCACCGAGTATGATAGTGGTACTATTTGTGTCTACTCCTGATCATTCTCACGTAATGTTAAAGCACGTTACATAAATTATTTCGAGATAAAGCTAGTTCTAATTACAGGATATAAGAAATAGATTAACCTAGGTTTACCATTAAATAGAATATACAAGATCTATAGAAGCTGTGTCAAACATGAAATCGATTCTATAGTACATCACGAGAATATCGTACTTTAATACAAATATATGTTTTATATCATAAAGATAGTCGCAATCAATTAACATATTATTGTCTTGTAAAAAATAAAACTGCCACATGGATGATGAAATCATGAAATATGGATGAAAATTAAAATGATAAATATTACATCATATAAATATAGATAAAAATTAAAATGATAAATATTACATCATATAAATATAGATAAAAATTAAAATGATAAATATTACAGCTTATAAATATAGATGAAAATTAAAATGATAAATATTACAGCATATAAATAAAGACATACATTAGATATGCTATGACATTGCTACTTCTTCGTGACACCGACGTCTCAAGAGTTTACAGATATGTTAAATGATCACTTCATTCATGGAAAATTTCTCCATACATCAAATATCTGTATTGACTCGTGTGAGTTTGTAGGTCATTATTGGTATAAATCTACACTAAGCGCTTGAAAGGATGAGTAGGGTAGCATGATGGATGTGTGTATTGATGTCTTGACTATCACCTAGACACGGTTATGTTTGCATCCACTTCATTCACTAGGCAGTACCTGATGTACATTTCATAAACATGTGTGACGTCACGCGCGTTTATCGTGATAATGCATCTAGCATCATTCAAAAATGTATGAAACACGTCACTCCGAAAACCACTCTGAGAACAAGTCTCACGTATTATGAAACTAGCCCTTTCTCTACACCTTTGTGTCCATTGTGAGCGACATAAATTCCACCAAACCGTTAAAACGTCTCAGGATGAAGATACGTTTTGCAAGTTTTGACAGCAAACCTCTGAAATATTAAGAATATTTATTTTTACAGAAATGGAAAACAGCAAATCACAGCACGAGTTACATATCGAGTCAATATATCATCGCTACAATGTATTTTTTCCGCGATTTGATTATAATATTATTCCTTAACGTCAACGAATATCTATAAATAGCAATACAAGATTACACACCATAGAAAAAAATAGAGTTTACCTCGAAGTCCAGACTTTATCAGCCGCCCGTGATTAGCGTCTGCTCAAATATAGCCAAAGGTCCCAACATGATTGCAATCTGATTGTTGACATCGCGTCGTGGTGCGTTTTCGACCAGTGCCATGAAGGTGTTGTCTCGTATCACTGGGTCGGGTACCCCATTAAACGACAGATCAAAGTTAACCCTGTCTGGGTTGGTTCTAGAAACAAAATATGAAAGATTGTGAAAAATACACAAAAGTGAATAATTAAATTGTATCAGACAGCTGATACTTTAACACAAGTACATGGTTTAGTATGAATATGATGTTTATGCAACCCAAGACTTAATTACCCGCAGAACTTTAACAGCAACACGCTGCGTACGTACACCTTAAAAGCTGTATATAAAGTTTAACAACTTTATACCAACAATTAACAACAAACGAAGGTTATATTTTTTGTTTACAATACGACCTATAGGAAATATGGGTTATTGTGAAGGTTTTATTCGGCGGTCCAAATTTTAACGGTTTTACCAAAATTCTAAAGCAAGAACAGTGATATTTCCAGGAAAATCGTGTAACAGGCTTTTGTTTTCTCAGTTACTTCGATTTTACCTATATCTTTATCTACGACTTCAGTCTATCTCCAAAAAATAGAGAACGATAGAACCTCTCAGAAAATAACGACCTTTAGTGACTGAATAATTTTCTTTCGAGAATGAGACACTTACGTGAAGTAGTTTATTTTGCATCCGTCATACCTCTGATCAGGGTACCTGTTTTCACATAACTTGTCAAACTGTAACAGACATAGTTTGATCATTAAGAGTATAGTTGTCAAACATGAACTTTTTAAGGAATAACAAAAAGAATACCTATATATTAACACAATCTTAATCCAAACTCCAATTCAATTAAAATGGGGGAAGCATCAATAACAAAATTTACACGGAAGCCACTAATAAGTGCAAAAATAGGACCAAGTGTCCAAGAAGGACAAGCGTACTTTACTTCATAGACAACACAAGCTTAGCAACTCTTATCCAACCCAAATGAAATATTTTATTCTCATGAGATAGGTTAATTGATTCCTGACTTGCAACTTTCCCATAAATCAAAAGTTTAATGACTAGTTATTTAATAGAAATTAAAAAAAGAGAATCATGTTTAATTCAAAAATATTTACAATGACATTCAACTGTTCAGTGCACTATAGAAGACACAAATCAAAGCGAATATCTGTATTACGCAATTGCCAATGAGGTTGATGGGTCAAAATATGCAAATAAAAACAACTTACGAAGTGACAGAATGGCGTCTCTATGCTTGCAAAAGCAGCTGATGTACGGTCAGCAAGGTCGCTAGAGTAGTTTAGGTTCAATACTGTGAATGTCACGTTCAATTGTATATTTACTGAAAAAAAGTAAGAAAAAAATGTAAGTTTTCTCTATCAGGAATCAAACATGCTAATTCTATGTCTTTAAATAATCGATTATTTAATATGTTAATGCAACATCACAATCTAATGACAATGCGACTAAAGCAAAACTCAAGACAAGTTAATTACTCAGATTTACAATTACAGTCAGCATGATCTTCATCACGTACCAGACATTACTGTTGTCGTTGGGACTGTGGTGGTGAGATAATCGGACATGTTGACCGCGATTCTCTGTACATCTCCGAAGGAGAAGATGTTGTTCCCTATATACATTGTGTCCTGGCCAGCTACCGTGATGTGCTGAGCACTGGTATTAAGTGTTGACCTCAGGGATTGGTCGGGAATTCCATCTGTTCCGTTGAACACCATTTTGAAAGTCAATGTCGCCGGGTCCGTATTCCTGGTAAATAAATATGTTCTATACGGCAAAAGTGCAATTTTTTTTATTTTCCTGTGCATTATGCGTTAAATCACTTAAATTTGTTTCCATTACCTTGTTCATCTCATGATATCTAAAGTGGAAATATGCCTGATGTTGAAACTGGAAATGCACAAAGCGTATTTATAAATTCATACGGACCTTAACATAATTCCGTCACAATTATGATATGAATTTGTAATATTTGGATTTTTAATATAACAGATATGTAAATACAGACACTAGTATCCTAATCTCAGTGGTCATCCTACATTGTAAAGGTCAATCATAACTACAGCTAGACTCTCTGATTTTTGTACTGTCCAGAAAGAATTCAAGCTAGTGTAGATATCCGATATATACACTATGATACTATAACATCATGTTTGTTATGCTATACTACATACGAATGTGACATACTGGTCATCGTACGGGTGTTCTCTAACCGACAATTCACAGGATCTTATTTCAAACTAAAGGAATAGCGAATTTGACTGAGAAACATTCGCCTTGAATACGCATTTAGACCAACATGTGTTTCTTTTAGCTGGGAAAGATGTATAGATATGTTGCTAATTAAAAACTTGCAATAAAATATGCTATTTATTTGTGTCTAAAGTCAAATAATCTAGTAAAAAGCAATATCTGAATGCAAAACATATATAGTAAATCATCCCAATGGATATGTTACTTGCATTTGTACCACGACGCGGCAATCTATATTGAGAAACTTACGAAATAAAGGCGACGAAGCATCTATAGTATCGGTCAGAATATACACTGGTGGACATGAAAGCGTCAATCTGTAAGCAAATTTTAATGAGATACTAATATTTATTTTGCAAAAATAAGGTAGAGAAAGGAATCTAACGCTATGAAAAGCTGTTGAAACGGACTGTACAATTATTACACGACCTTATAATGAACAATCGGATTGGAATATAAATGTTTTAAAAATGTTTTGGTAAGATAACGGTATTGGAAATGTGAACGAAGGCAATTTAAGACAACTTAAGAATACATACGTCATTACAAAACACACTCTGGAAATCCTCAAACCTCTGAGATGATGGATCAGCTAAATCGGGCTCGTACAGGAAATCGTGGATAGACAGCGTCATGTTTGCTAACCAGGCATCTTTTAATAAAAGATAATGGGTTTTTTTTTTAATTTTTAATGATACATAGTAATTGGTGTCATTCATTGTCTTCAAATAAATGTATATATTTCAAAATTATCAGTCTTTACCAAAAACACAAATTAGGAATAGTTTTTCTTAAAATAAGAGTACCGACCGTTATATCAAAATGCGGTTTTCTGCTCAAAAGAACATTTGGATATATGTTTTGCCATATTTAGCAATTAAGCAGGAAAACTGTCATTAAGATCCCGACATAACAATGTAATACATAATAACTTAACAGCAAGTGCCCTGTAACATGCAAAAATATAGGTATCATGTGAAATATAGACGGTGTAGCAGCTGCCTAGGTACGACACTGATATAACCTAAGTTGTTGTAAATATCAAGGACTATATTTAGTCACGACACTGATATAACCTAAGTTGTTGTAAATATCAAAGACTATATTTAGTCACGACACTGATATAACCGCAGTTGTAGTAAATATCAAGGACTATATTTAGTCACGACACTGATATAACCTCAGTTGTAGCAAATATCCTGGATTATATTTACACTATAATATCATTTCAAGGATTGGTCAAGTCAATGCCCACCGAATTAGGGAAATCATCATTTCCGCGAAGATGTCCAGTTGTACTGTACTTGGAACAAAACTCACATAAATAAGGTCGCATGCGTCCTTATAAAAATATACCGACGTGGCTTTAAGATTATTGCGATTTTGGGATTAACATAGCAAGCTGAAATACTGCGCCAAAAGAAAAACGCGCCCAGTCCATGCTATTTAGAGCACATAACATATATTTACCAAATAGATAATATTTTTCTTGTTTAAGGCGCATATTGCTCTCATGCCTTGATGTAATTTTGATAGGAACTGTGTCATACATACCATGAAGAATATTGTCCCATTTTGAAAAGTACACGAGTAGGTCCCCTATCAAATTAACTATTTTCCCGTTATAGGAGTATTGAGGAGTATTTTGAAATATGACGTCAGAAGTGTTTGCCACCAAAGCTTCCTCGGAATGGTTGCCTTTGAAAGTGAGTACACTGGTGATCGTGACGGGATTATTGCTGAAAAATATGATACCAAGATAAAGTTAGTTGATAGAGTATTAAGTAAGATAAGACAATACAGCTGAAACGATTTCTACAATTATGAATAATGCTGTTGAAGGGAGATAATAAATAATTGTGTTAAAGGGAGATAATAAATAATAATGTTAAAGGGAGATGATATTGAACGATGTTAGTCTCCACTTGTACAACTGACTCTACCGCTATACAAGCATATTATCACAGAACAATATACAGAGACTTACCGGAAAGAAAGACTCTCGACTTGTCTGAACGGGTAAGATTGTGAACTAAATCCCAGTAATGTCGTCATCTGCAAGTTCAAAAAAGGGAATCTACTCATCACTATACTTATCACAATTACCGTGCATTTCGTAATATAAATCTGCTATTGTAACATACAAATATATGATTGTTTATAATTCAATACTGCAGTGTTAACATAAAGACACATTTTCCCTTTGATATCAGTTAAATGTTTGTTTGTACATGTGCATCAAACAGACTGATATTTGAATGCATGATAAGCGTCATCAATATTTCAGACAGAAGATTGTTCAAAGGTTTTTAAGTCAATATCACAATTTAGAATGAAGAATATGGTAATGGAAATTGAAATAATAAATTAACCGGCATCGTGTATTTGTTTTGATCTTCTATGACACCTTAGTGATGCATAAATTGTTGTATCATACAAAGCGACTGTTTCTACTTGTCTGTATATATCCCTTTTGTTATCATTATATATAAAGACGCTGTACAGTCTATCTGACATCCTGTTGAGCACTAAGATTCCAACATGGAGGTAGACATCACCACTTACGTCGGCACCAAACAAATCAGCATGCTGTTTAAATGTTGGCGAGGCCATATCCAAAAGATCAGAGGTCCAAGTCAGATTCATAACTTGGAACTCCATATTAACTCGTGACGTCACATCCTGGTAATGTATCAGAAGGGTCCCGAGAGTATATACAATTGAATAGTGGTATTCCAGTAATGGAGTTGACTTAATTATGTACTCTTTAACATCTCTTTGCAGCTCCTTAACCGGAAAGTCCCCTTCAAATGTCAGCCTTATGTCTAACTTGACAGGGTCTTTTCTGTAAAAATGGTCAATCAAAGAATTAATCGTGAAGCGGGTAAGATGTAAAGCATTATCGCAACAACAACATTTTGATTACATAATTGATTTCACCAATGTTGGTCATGGGATACTTACAAAATTTGGATCAGTTCACATTTCCTGAATTCCGGATAGGCAGTAACATTCTTTCTCATTATATTCCCGATCTAAAATATGAATACAATTTAAAACTATGGCGTAATTATTGCATGTTCATATCGAATTCACATCCTAGCCAAACAAACTTGATCACGTTGCCATGGTACAAAATCCATGAATGTGTGTCGTTATTTTCAAGAATATATCATTAGCTATTGGAAACATGTTCGAAATAGACCTTAACAAATGTGAAAATATAAATTCGACAACCTACAGCCGGTGATTTACATGAAATACTTACATCTTCACAAACTGCTTGTGCGTACCACTTAAACTCAATGGAGTCTTTGTCGGAGATGTCCGTTGTCAGATTCAGCACTCGCAGTTCCAGACTCACTTCGGTAGCGGTATAATTATCTAGAAACACTAAAAGATCACCAATTCGCGTAGATATGGTGTTTTTAAATACAATAGGTGAACTTCCTGTCATGATGTAATTCAGCGCCTCCTGTCGAACTGTGTTGGACACATTTCCATAGAAATGTATATCCCAGTCAATGGAATAGGGACTGTTCCTGAAACATACAATGTATAATAATCATGATATATAATAATTATACGGTCAATACCATAATACTTGTTTTCCTGTCTTTTTTTTTTACATTATTTCCTGAATAAAAAACAATCACTCTTGTGGGATGAAGACGGTGAAATAATCATTCATCCAATAGGATCTGTTACTGTGTTTGATATTACATGAAAAACAAATAAAAAAATAACCAACATGCGAAAAAAATCTTAATTCAAACTGAATATCGATGAAACCGGATCAAAACATAAGTAAAGTAAAGATATACACGGAAATCATTAAAAATCTAAGTCAAAATGTTTTCGTAATATGAGCGTATTATTCTTAATTGCATAGACGTTAAGTACTTTGTTACATACCTGAATGACGTCACACTTATTTCTTTGAAGCTTGGAAATAGTCTGGGATTTTCTAAAATAGACACTGTTGCCTTCAAAAAGAAAAACAAAAGAGTGAAGAAATAAATATGATTTGGCAAACAAAATCAAGTAAATACCAACATGTAAACAGCATCATAATCCAAACACAAATTCACACTTTAGTAAAATGTGAACGAGAGGACGATTTACATGAATATTCCTAACAGTACGAGGAGAACAAGACCAGGTCTATCCAAGTAAGTAATGTCAGATCCCAAAGAAGGTAAAAAAAAAAGCCACAAAAATAAACCGGAATCAAGAGGTCAACTATCAAATATAGAACACGTCCTGCTGAATAATCTTTAACAGAAATGGTGTCTCATAACTCTTACAGAAACAGAAGTACTTGTCACATATGATACGGCTTTGTAAAACACTAGGTTCTGTCTCCAGGTAAAACGTGTAGAAGTACAAAGACGTGGAACTGTTCTAAATATCGGGTTCGGGAGATGTCCTCGCATAGCTTGGAATGTTGTACTTGAGATCACTTACTTGGAAAATGAAGGGTTTGGCCAGTTTTTGGAAGTCTAGTGACTGTGTGTCCCTCAGCGTGTCACTGAACGTTCTATTTAGAATCAAAGAGGTGTATTGAAAGGACACAACAAAATCTGAAAATAAATAGATAATGTTAAACAGCGGTCTAGACAGATTTTTGTTATAAATCTACATTGATATAAGCAAAAACAATCCGAGTTATATTTATTAACAGACCCATATACTACAGTAGTAAGTTCAATAAACCATGTAATTCAGGAATCTGTTCACCGACTGACAATATACAGTAATCAGTTAATGACCATCCAAATAACTGACAACTGTTCTAATTTTGAAGTTGACGAATTTTGGAGTAAATTTATCTCCCTATCCGGTTTTCACGTTTATTTCGTGCATTGTTCTCTGTTCAACAATTTTTGCCCCTAGCATTATTTATGAGGCTTAGAAGGACGAAGCAGCTATATGATGTATTTTGATAAATTTGGCTCTATTGTACTTTGTTATTAAGCAGGTACACAATGAATGTATGAGTGTTTAAGATCGTTATTGTTGTGATAGCTGATGTACCATTGCCACAGTCAGGTCCAGTGTAATCAGGCGGACACTGGCAAGTATAAGCTCCCGGGGTGTCTACACATGTCGCTCCGTTCATGCACGGACTTCTTTGACACTCGTCAATATCTGAAAAAAATTAGTAAGGAAAAAATAAAACATTTTGCTTCAGGAATTTAGTGATGAGTTCGGAATAAGACGAAAAACAAACTTGCAATAGAATTCTATTGATGTGGGGGAATGTTATTTTTTACCATTAAATCATGTATACTCAGGAGAATCTGGACAAAACTTTTCATGAATGTTTAAGTACTTAAAAGTTAAATTATCCTTTGGTTGTCATTTTCAGTATTGCCCTTAAGGGACCTGCCTCTATACTCGGCATAAATTACTATTTATAAAAATCCAAAACATTTTACTCTGAAAGAAATGGATCAGTGGGTCAGTGTAATTAAATTAACATGTCCCATTCATGCCGATGTATCATAACATAGTGTTTGTCAAACCTGTCAAGTTTAATGATTAACTGTAAAATATCTCTAGCGTTTTAACACTTCAATCACTCTGATTGATACATTCGATCATTTCGACACTTCAAAGAGACTTCTGAATATCTCGACATTTCCTTACTTCATTAAAGCTGGTGTCGATTATATCTACAGATGTGACAAATCTGACTTAATGCTGCATACCTCGAATAACTCGTCACATCGTGACAATCAACTCTCCATTTCGCAATAATTTTGATACTTCAGAATGACTTTCTTCACCAGAATTTTTTTAAACAAATACTTACTGTCCTTTATCTGGGCTATATTACATTTCAGCAAGACATATTGCCATTTATAAAGTTTATTTCAATGAAACCTCTGTAAGACTTGCTGCTATATATCAAGGTTAACTGGCATATATCAAGGCATTTTGCCATATATCAAGACTTGATGCTATATATCGAGGTTTTCTGCCATACGTAAAATGCTTACGGCCATATATAGACTTACTGCCATATTTCAAGTCTACTTCCATATATAAAGTTTACTTATATATATCAAGGTCTACTGTCATTTATGAAGGTTTACCGCCATATGCAAATGGCTTACTACCACATATCAGGACTTACGGCCATATATAAAGACTTACTGCCATATATGAAGACTCTGCTATATATGAAGACTTACTGCTATATATTAAGACTAACTGATATATTTCAAGACCACTTTAACCATCTAATTAGACTGTCATATAATAGACCTTTACGGCAACACATACTGTCTGAACATGTCTGCCCTCCCCAGCCGCTCTCACATCGACACTGGAACGACCCCACGGTATCAACGCACGTCCCATTGTTAACACAAGGGTACAGTGCACATTCGTTCCAATCTGTAGGAAGATGAAACACAAGTGAAAGGCATATTTCAGAACAAATTTAAGTAAAACAGTTTAGATTGATTTACATTTTATCTTTATCATTTATAACAATAATTCTATGTTTACATGTGAGATACCCATCTTATACTTTCTGTAGGTACAACATATCATAACAACATAATTATCTTATCATTTATCGAGTATTCCCAGGTAATATTAATTTGCGGATTACAAATGTGTTATGTAACCTTTTGTAACTTCGGGTTTAAATGATGAATTGATGTTATATATCCACGGATGTCATGGTGACGTAACAATTGCAATTATAAATATTAAGCTAAGGTTTGACGTGGGCGTTTCCATTTTCTACAATATGTGCCTGAATAATCGATCATGTGATCCTAAATTCCTTTCTAAATTTAGCGATTTAAGAAACCAATTTTTATTTAAGCGCACCTTTTAAATAATTTTGTTACCTCGTTTGCGAAATCACATATATGAAATTCATATAAACTTTTATAATTCTGGAACCCATTGTAATGGACATGACAAATATACCGAATAGATATCGACTCCATTAGTAAGATGGATGTAAAATACACTTGTGGAATATTTCCCAAATCAACTAATATTTATTTGTCCAAAAACAAGAGTTGCCTCCCCTTGACTAGAGTCTAAATAATCAATTTTGTGTGTAGTCTTATTTACTTCGACTACTGAAAAAGGATCTAAATAGATTACATACCTACTCTCAAATGCAATGAAAATGATATTTCAGTAAAACACGTAAAATTAAAGCGATATACATGTTATAAAATCTATTTTTGAGTAGGGTTAGGACCAGACTTCGGGTTGGCGTTTGGTTTCATAGTTAAAATATGAATACATGTATAAGTAATGAAAGTAGAGAGTTTAACTCATAGAAAAAAAAACGACTGTTAAATCAGAAATCTATATATATCATCAATGCATGTATTGATTCATGACATGATCTGTTGATTAATAATGAAGCGATATTCAGGCGATGTAATACAACATCACAGAAGTGATATTCACGTGGTTTAGATCACACGTAAGCAGTCTATCGCTTACACGTCAGCAATCTTACGTTTACAAGTCAGCAATCTTACGTTTACAAGTCAGCAATCTTACGTTTACAAGTTAACAATCTTATCTTTACAAGTTAGCAATCTTATCTTTACAAGTTAGCAATCTTATCTTTACAAGTTAGCAATCTTATCTTTACAAGTTAGCAATCTTATCTTTACAAGTTAGCAGTCTTACGTTTACAAGTTTGCAGTCTTACGTTTACAAGTAAGCAATCTTATCTTTACAAGTTAGCAACCTCATGTTTACAAGTTAGAAGTTCAACGCTTAAATGTTAGCAGTCTGACGCTACAAGTGAAAAGAGTTGACAACAATGAACTCGCCAAACTTTATAACAAGCACCAAATCATCTGAATTAAAATCGAAGAGCGAAAAAGTAGTTAAGGCAAAATACCCTTAAATATCGAACTGCTAATAGAATCTCCGTAGGTCTGGAAAGCCCCGTTGGTATTATCAAGAAAGGGAAAATTCACCACAGAGGAATTGAAATCATTCCGCTTATAATACAGTGTAGTTAAAAGTTGTCTTTGCTGGCTGTGGTGTTCGCAAAGATCGAGATACATGTCAGCAGCTATGAACATTCTGAAGTCTCCTTGGTTGACATTATATTAATGCAATACCGCCATTAACAGTTAATCATTGCAATGGCAAGCATAAGTAGAATAGAATTACTATTATAGGGATGCCATATCACCGGTACAGAATGGTTAAAATAGTAATCTATTTATAGAGACGTGCGCAGTAAACATCAGTTCAATATCTAAACATGTAAATTGGTTAAACTATTAAACATATGAACATGTTGTACACTAAGTTAGAAATTAGAAAGACAAATACCGATGTGCATACTTACTGTTCTCACAGTTAAACCCGTACCATCCCGGGCTACAGCGGCACGCGTACGACCCAGCGATATTGTGACAAGTTCCATCATGTTGACAGGGAGTAAAATAACATTCATCAACATCTGAAAAGAGGACACACAAAAATTGATTTGTTGATCTATCTCATTAATTGATTTTTTTGTGAAGTTATTAATTCACTGAAATACCATAACAACTGCCGTATACCTTCAGTACAAGTACTCCCCGCCCATCCTATCGGACACGTGCATGCAAAGCCACCATCGTAATCAGTACAGGTCCCTCCGTTCTGACAGGGACTTAATTCGCATTCATTTGCATCTGCCGTAAGAAAAACAAGATAGCTACATATTTGATATAAAAATGAATTTCTTAAGGTCAGTTTAAAAGAGTAGCTGTTGACTAAGTCACATAGAACAGAAATAGGTGTAAAGTAATGGCTGTGATAGAATACAATAGACAGTAAATTAGATAGGTCAGTTTTGATATAGTATCGGATATAATATGTTACTTACCAGTGTCACACAGGGCACCTGTCCATGTTGAGGGACACACACACTGGAACGCTCCCTGCTTGTTGATACAGGTACCATGAACACAGGGACTTAGGATGTCACATTCATCCACATCTGTACACCGATAATAAATCACATAACAGAGAGCGGACCCAAAAATAATCACATACTTTGAAAACATTCTGCACGATATAATTAAGTTAAATTTCCAATTATCATCTATTTAACGTTTTTATTAAAACTGAATATCTTATCGAATGCTGTTGATAAAACTAGAATAGGAATGAGTACATGCCTATTAATACTTATTTCCTGATAAATCAGATATCGACATCCAAGTGTTTATATGTTGTTACCGTTTGAACACTTGAATTACACGGTATTTGTTGTTATCTGAAGTTCGGTAGAGTGTACCAGCTGATCACGTGTCAATATGTCGATGTAAATTAAGAAGAAAAAGTACAGGTCTTTTATATTGAACAAAGTCATGCTAAAGCTTTAAAATCTCCCAATTTGTTAATTATCCAAAAGAAAAGCAATATATTCTTTAATTTACAGTGCGCGTGGAACTCTTATTATATGCTCAATTATTTCAATATCATAAATGTCTATCTCCCAGTTGTAGTACCTGTTTTACAGTCGTCTCCAGTCCACCCTGACTGACAGTTACACAGGAAAGAACCATCTGTATTGTTACATATCCCTCCATTCCAGCATGGGTTATCGTAACATTCATTCTTGTCTGTGTGAAACATTGGAAATAATAACATATTATGATACTTTGAAGTGTTGACGCCATTTTTAATGTTAATTTGTATCTGATAATGACACACGTATTTAATAGCTTATGACGTCATAGAGATAAGTTATTTCACGTTATTAAGAAATTACACGTTTGATGTTGAAACTGATTTTAGACATATGCAAACATGTCCATAACACATGTCAACATAATTCAAACTCAAATTCAATAGATTTAGGGAAAAATATAAACAAAAGAAAGATTTACACGGAGACTCCTGAAAATGTATAATAAGACCAGGTGATCCATAAGAGTAAGCGTTTACTGTTCCATTGACCACATCTACCATATAATAACAATGTAACTAAACGAAATGTCTATAATGTAAAATGTAATGTACCTATAAGACAGGTCGGTCCTGTCCAACCGTCCGTACAGACACAACTGAAGGACTGGATACCATCTATACATGAACCACCGTTATAACAGGGATCGGACAAACACTCGTCACCATCTGATAAAAAATAGAATAATTTCAGTTATTGTTCTTCATATCGCCACATCGATATATGTCTGATGGTATATATCAGGCTTAAGTTACTACAGATACATGGTTTCCTGTGGTTTATCCCTGCATCTTTCACCACTGTATAGTGTTTTGTGCAACATTTCGCGAACACTCAATAAAACTTGTAGAATATCATACAAAACATTTACCTTTATATATCTGTAATGATATGTTTTTTCTATTACTTTACAAACTATTCCTGAATCTATTGAGAGTAAGATGTATTTCTGATATGTGTACCAATTTTGAACACGAGCATGTCTTGGTCTACTTCGAAAAAAACAACAACATATAATTCAACAGGTTCTCACACGAGATTTGAACTTCTTAATGGCATATAATGCCAAATATGTGATTAACTTTTTATAAACTTTAGAGACATCCCTAAACGTTTTAATTACTTACCAAACTTTGATATTTCCACTAGGAAGTTATTGATGAAAGCTAACCGCAGTCCAGAAAGGTCCACCTTGGAGGCTTTGGACCTTAGAATATCTAGAATGCGAGTCCGATGGGTGGGGTCAGTCAGCGAAAGGTCAATGTCAAGGGTCAATGCTGAATCGCTCACACTGCAACAGAACATCATGTATAATTTGAGAGACCTATACTTTTCGACCTCGTAGGTTAAGGATAAAAATACATATATATTTGTATAAACATATGACAAAGTTAAAGCTTTGTATGATTGTCAAAATCGTTCTTAGAAATGCCTACCATTCGTTATTAATGATAACAATCACTATAGTTTATGGGAAGTCGTTACCCGAACCCTATCTATGTAATAGGTTAGTGTTATTTTTGATCGGAGTTAAGGTATCTTACCTCACCGCGCTGGAACATGGACACGTTTTCGGATTATCTTCTGGTCTAAATATAGAAAAAGATATATCACAGACTGTCAAAAAGATACAAACAATACATAGTTTTTCAATCCATTTTGTCATCACTACAATATTTTCTATTCTTTATCACACTACAATATCATGCTAGACAGGAAACAAAGTATCTTGTCCCGAACTTCTGTACACTTTTTATACTATACATTTTGGGTATTGTTTATTATATCAATGCAATATCCCATGATTAAACTTATAACGATTCCCCGTTAAGACGATTTTTTCGTTAGATATGCCTTATCATTCTAACCCTATTGATGTTCCTCCGTGTGACACTGCTTTCTATAAGGTATGAACTATCGTTGATCATGCAGTCAATACGTGTTTTCCTTACCGTATAGACTTCACTTTGCATCCATGGTAGTCGAGCGCCAAGCCACTGTTCTCAAAGTATTTGTCGAGCTAAAACAGATTTGATGTTTCTTTTATATGCTTTTGAAATAAGACAATATTGGAAATTACGAAAATGATTGCAATGTGGAATTAGTTCACCGCCCTATCTTAGTTTTGATTTTTTTCTCGACTATTTCTGTTGTACCATGGCCGCCTCCTAGGTTCTCCCTTCCTATCACTTTGGAGACGAACCAGTTGTCTGGTGCTTTTCACCATTAAGCTCTATCGTTTCTGATGCTAACTACAGTGAAAATGTCATTCTTCTGTACATTCGTATTAAGTTTACGCATGCTCTAAATACTTCAGGGTCACTAGAGCGCTCTGAACCCTTGGAACGTATCATGGAAAAATTGTAGGCACAAGCGAAGAAATTCGATTGGTCCAAGAAAACAAAACCTGGCCAATCAAAAACTGATACGCTCCTATGAATATTACAAAGGCGCGATATCCAACTTCAAAGCCAGTACAGAATACCGTTATCCTACCTCGAGATTTGTTTAATGTCCATCAACGGACCAAACTAATGTCGTCCACAAGGGATCTTCATTTTGCCATGAAATGTTCCAGAGGTGCAGGGAATAAAAGTGGGCGTAACCCCTGGAGTATCGAGGATGAATTTATGTTGACATTGAATATCTGCACAGGTTACACACTATCGTCATCCCCAGGCTGTCATAGGTCAGTGTGATCGTTTACGGGTGTCTGTATAAATACTAAGTACGTATATAAAGGTTGTTCAGGTTAGCATATTCTGACTACCAGTTCACTGACAATATATTCTTGTCACTAAGATGGTATCATACCTCTTTGCAAAAAGGTAGAGCAATTGCCTGGAACTCTGGAGAGGCAGCGTTCTGGAACTTCCGTGTGTAAGTTTGGTTTAGGACAGGAACTGACAGTTTGGCGGCGTAGGCATCAACTGGAAAGAATATTCGTGTTATCAATTTTATCGAAGGCATCGACTGATAACTTTGAAACTGGATGTCAATAAATAAAGCTATTTTTGCCTTTCTGATGGTCTCCCGCATCTCCTTGTTTGTTTGACAATGTCTGATATAGAATTCTTTTCGATTCTCAATTTCGAAATAAAAAAAAATAATAATGTAATATTCGGTGGTACAAAGTGTTCACTTACCATGAATCGGACTCTCGTCTGTAACATAGAATAACATACCAATTAGTATTTTATTTAAAACCTATCTACAAATAACTTTGTCTTTCAATATATCACCGACATTTCATTTATTCTGGTAATCATCAACATATTTTTTTTCTTTTAAACGAGTTATCGTGTAACATTTGTTTGTGTTCCTTGCAAAAAAGACGGATATATATAAATTATAAAACTTGTTTACGAATCCTATTCAGATGTGATTGTTCTTATATCAGCGTTATATATATGTACATATCTGTGAATTAAATGAAGTGTATATTAATGAACGAGTGTATTGTATTTTACAGTATAGTGTGATGGTGGAAAGTGTCTCATTACATGTATAGGATGTAGACTGTATGTAAGAAAGGACACGTTTCAGCCTTTGTAATATTTTTATCTTTTTCGACACTGATGGACAAAGATAACCTATTTTACCTGTTTCTGACCTTAATCTAGACCAGGCCATCATACAGGTTCTATCAACTGTGGTGTTACATCTGAATTATATACTAAGTAGGGTTAACTTCTTACAAACCAAATTATCTCTGGATTCAGATTTTGTCTGTTTGATAGAGTAAATTTTATATTATTGAGTTTTATATCCGATCAGGGAGTTATATATATGTACAATCAACCGGCACATGCATCCGTTTTATTTTCATTTTAGTGGTAACTAGTATTTTATATACGGATAAAGCTAACTTTACATACTGATAAAGCTAACTTAATATACGGATAAAGCTAACTTAATATACGGATAAAGCTAACTTTACATACTGATAAAGCTAACTTAATATACGGATAAAGCTAACTTAATATACGGATAAAGCTAACTTTACATACTGATAAAGCTAACTTAATATACGGATAAAGCTAACTTTACATACTGATAAAGCTAACTTAATATACGGATAAAGCTAACTTAATATACGGATAAAGCTAACTTTACATACTGATAAAGCTAACTTAATATACGGATAAAGCTAACTTAATATACGGATAAAGCTAACTTTACATACTGATAAAGCTAACTTAATATACGGATAAAGCTAACTTTACATACTGATAAAGCTAACTTAATATACGGATAAAGCTAACTTTACATACTGATAAAGCTAACTTAATATACGGATAAAGCTAACTTTACATACTGATAAAGCTAACTTAATATGCGGATAAAGCTAACTTTATAAACTAATAAAGCTAAATATTTATCAATTCGCCCCAGTAAATAATATCAATGTAGCAATGTTCCATTTTTGCTATTCGACCTCGTAACATGTAGTAATAGAATTAATAGGCTGGAATTAAGTGTTGATATGTACCTTGCATCATAAGCCAGTAGTGTACAAGGAGTCCTACTCCGAATGATATTAACAAGGCTCCCAGCAGTAGTACCATAATTAGTCCGATACGACCCTGAGTTCTTCTGTCTTTCCGAGGCCGTCCTAGGAATGATCGGGAGCTACTTGTGGACAGTCCATACCCAGAGAACCCGTCGTAAAGGTCCGGATCCTGTAGACTATTGTGGTCATATATTCTTTCCTTAAGGATAACAGGTGTCAGTGTAAACTCGCCAAGCTCATCCTCAAATCGTCGCTGAGACTGAAAAATATCATTTAGTTTTGGATTATCACTTATAGGTTACATGATGGTTTAACAGAGATCACACATAAACGTTATAATTACCTATATATATGTACTAAATAAAGTACAAATGTTCTAAATACAGTACAAATGTACTAAACATAAAAACGTTAAATGTTAGGATAGGAACTTAACATAATCTTGCAACAAAACGTTAAAAAGTAAAAAGATCCATTCTAACCCAAACGAAAGGATTTGCATTTTGTGTGAGGCTGTGGGTGTGGGTGTGTGTGGGTGAGCTTGTGGGGGTGGGTTTGTAGGGAGGGGGATTTTGATACATACATAAAAAATAACCATTCATCACGGAAACCTATTAATATATCTGATATAAAACACATTTTCCCGATTTCGATATTCACTGTTGTTCATGAAATCTGCCTGTTACTTCTATCTTTCATTGACAAATATTCTATTCCATTGTCTGTTATCTGACATGACCAACACAAGAATATTCTGGATTTTCGCAGAAGAAATCCGTGATCACCAAATGCTGATGTCCCTGGTGTTTTATCAACATTAGTGTCTCCATGGCTTGGTCAGCTAAATCACTTGCCGTTATTCCTTATGTCGAAGCATGACACGTTATGATCAGCGGCAGATGTCGTACATCTGTACATGTCATACCGTGGGAACACTGTCGTTACCTGTCTAGGTAGCACAGGTAACGTTTATCATCTTATATTTTTAGGAGGAAAACGTTATTCGTGATAAGATAGCAGACAATTGATGTCTGTTAGGTAAAAAGTGACTGTATCACTGCATGATCATTCACTATATTAGATAAAACGCATGTGATTGTATAATTGTAATACTGACCATTGTTAAAAAAAGAGGAAGTGTATGGCTGAAAGGTCATTCACGGTATTAGGTAGAAACCGATTCTATGATTCCATAGTCATTTACGGTATAAGGTAGAAAATGATTGTATGATTTCATGGACATTCACGGTATTAGGTAGAAACCGATTCTATGATTCCATAGTCATTTACGGTATTAGGTAGAAAAGGATTGTATGATTCCATGGTCATTCACGGTATTAGGTAGAAAATGATTGTATAATTCCATGGTCATTCATGGTATTAGGTAGAAAACTATTGCATGATTTCATGGTCAAGACTGTGCGCCATTCGTTGTATAATGTAGAAATTGTATGTACTGCGTGGTCTGTCTTACTTCACCCTTCCAACACTTAAGATAATATCGGGTAGACATACAGAATTATCCCTTTCGTCATAACAGATAACATCTAGTCAACACAAACAGTCTGGGTCTGTCTTCATTTAACATCTGCTAATGACTTAAGTCTCGTATCCACTGGCGAAGCTTGTATCAGGTGAACGCGAAAAGGGGAGGTAATTGTTTGTATAAGAAAGTTTCTATGTGACAGGTATGGAAGTTATTTGACTAGTTACAGGTGTAATCAAATGTTGGCCGTAGGTAATCATTGCGTCACATATGTCGTCACATTTGATATGCGACAGATTCGCCTAGCTGTAAGTAGGTGTGTACTCCTTTATACGGAGAAACGGGTATTCAGACATCCTCAGACCGAAAACGTCCGCCTCTGACATCAGAAAACTAATAGAAATGATTATTATGAAATAATCGGTTGTTAATATTCTGCACTACAAGAGAAAGTGCTATTTTGTGGGTTTTTTTTTTTTGTATTTTGATTCGATCGTGAATTTACACGCATGGCATTTCCTTGAAGATTTTCTATGTATTTTCTGAATATTTTAATTTCATGATTTTACAGACAAAAGAAATTTGATAACAGGTATATCATATTAAAGATATCTCCTTACTGTTATAAACAAACATAAATATCAGTCATGAATAAGGTGAAAGGTATTGGAATAATATAGAAATGTTTAGGACAGAGGTTTTTATTAGTAAATTGAATTTCACTTAACGGTTAGGACAAGAATCAGTCCGAAAGTCACTTTTAGTGAAATATAACACAGTCATAGTAATCGTTTAGATTCAGTTGCATATATTAACGTCGAAAATTGGATCCTTAAAAGCAGCGTCTTTGCAAATACAGAACGGTTAAAAGAGACCTGGAAGGGGGGGGGGGGGAGGGGGGGAAAGAAAACGTCAATTTGTTTTGCTAATATGAATGTATATGAATTGAATCAAAATAAATCGTGTCACTTGAAATATTATTAAAAGAACACATCCTAGGACTCGCAATGGGATAATTCTCGCATTAAGCCTATTGTAGCTAGTCTAAAGTGCACATGGTCTTGCAAGACAACTGTTGCCTGAGACGGAGTGCTTTTAAGTTTTCTTTATTAGCCTTGGCCTACTTTTTGAGGTCAGAGTGGTCAAGACTGACCAAGTGAGATTTTTTCTGTATTATACATATATGTATCAGTTTGGCGCGCGAGGTTACCACATTCGGACATTTTTACATGTGTATTTTATATACAGGACATCTTGCATGTCTGTATCAGTCGGGCCTCGAAGTTGTTACACTTGTGACTTTTTACATAAGTGTCTGTCTGTCGGGTCTCGAAATATGACATCTGGGACTTTTTACATGTATATCTATATCAGTCAGTAGCTCGAAGTTATCAAATCTAGGATTTTTTTACATGTATATCTATATCAGTCGGGGGCTCAAAGTTATCAAATCTGGGACTTTTTACATGTATATCTATATCAGTCGGGGGCTCGGAGTTATCAAATCTGGAACTTTTTACATGTATATCTATATCAGTCGGGGGCTCAAAGTTATCAAATCTGGGACTTTTTACATGTATATCTATATCAGTCGGGGGCTCGGAGTTATCAAATCTGGGACTTTTTACATGTATATCTATATCAGTTGAGGGCTCGGAGTTATCAAATCTGGGACTTTTTACATGTATATCTATATCAGTCGGGGGCTCAAAGTTATCAAATCTGGGACTTTTTACATGTATATCTATATCAGTCGGGGGTTCGGAGTTATCAAATCTGGGACTTTTTACATGTATATCTATATCAGTTGAGGGCTCGGAGTTATCAAATCTGGGACTTTTTACATGTATATCTATATCAGTCGGGGGCTCAAAGTTATCAAATCTAAGAACTTTTTACATGTATATCTATATCAGTCGGGGGCTCGAAGTTATCAAATCTAGGACTTTTTACATGTATATCTACATCAGGTCGGGGGCTCAAAGTTATCAAATCTAAGAACTTTTTACATGTATATCTATATCAGTCGGGAGCTCGGAGTTATCAAATCTAGGATTTTTTACATGTATATCTATATCAGTTGAGGGCTCGGAGTTATCAAATCTGGGACTTTTTACATGTATATCTATATCAGTCGGGGGCTCAAAGTTATCAAATCTAAGAACTTTTTACATGTATATCTATATCAGTTGGGGGCTCGGAGTTATCAAATCTAGGATTTTTTACATGTATATCTATATCAGTTGAGGGCTCGGAGTTATCAAATCTGGGACTTTTTACATGTATATCTATATCAGTCGGGGGCTCAAAGTTATCAAATCTAAGAACTTTTTACATGTATATCTACATCAGGTCGGGGGCTCAAAGTTATCAAATCTAAGAACTTTTTACATGTATATCTATATCAGTCGGGAGCTCGGAGTTATCAAATCTAGGATTTTTTACATGTATATCTATATCAGTTGGGGGCTCGGAGTTATCAAATCTAGGATTTTTTACATGTATATCTATATCAGTTGGGGGCTCGGAGTTATCAAATCTGGGACTTTTTACATGTATATCTATATCAGTCGGGGGCTCGGAGTTATCAAATCTAGGATTTTTTACATGTATATCTATATCAGTTGGGGGCTCGAAGTTATCAAATCCAAGAACTTTTTACATGTATATCTGTATCAGTCGGGGGCTCGGAGTTATCAAATCTAGGATTTTTTACATGTATATCTATATCAGTCGGGGGCTCGGAGTTATCAAATCTAGGATTTTTTACATGTATATCTATAACAGTCGGGGGCTCAAAGTTATCAAATCTAAGAACTTTTTACATGTATATCTATATCAGTCGGGGGCTCGAAGTTATCAAATCTAGGACTTTTTACATGTATATCTACATCAGGTCGGGGGCTCAAAGTTATCAAATCTAAGAACTTTTTACATGTATATCTATATCAGTCGGGAGCTCGGAGTTATCAAATCTAGGATTTTTTACATGTATATCTATATCAGTTGAGGGCTCGGAGTTATCAAATCTGGGACTTTTTACATGTATATCTATATCAGTCGGGGGCTCAAAGTTATCAAATCTAAGAACTTTTTACATGTATATCTATATCAGTTGGGGGCTCGGAGTTATCAAATCTAGGATTTTTTACATGTATATCTATATCAGTTGAGGGCTCGGAGTTATCAAATCTGGGACTTTTTACATGTATATCTATATCAGTCGGGGGCTCAAAGTTATCAAATCTAAGAACTTTTTACATGTATATCTACATCAGGTCGGGGGCTCAAAGTTATCAAATCTAAGAACTTTTTACATGTATATCTATATCAGTCGGGAGCTCGGAGTTATCAAATCTAGGATTTTTTACATGTATATCTATATCAGTTGGGGGCTCGGAGTTATCAAATCTAGGATTTTTTACATGTATATCTATATCAGTTGGGGGCTCGGAGTTATCAAATCTGGGACTTTTTACATGTATATCTATATCAGTCGGGGGCTCGGAGTTATCAAATCTAGGATTTTTTACATGTATATCTATATCAGTTGGGGGCTCGAAGTTATCAAATCCAAGAACTTTTTACATGTATATCTGTATCAGTCGGGGGCTCGGAGTTATCAAATCTAGTATTTTTTACATGTATATCTATATCAGTCGGGGGCTCGGAGTTATCAAATCTAGGATTTTTTACATGTATATCTATATCAGTTGAGGGCTCGGAGTTATCAAATCTAGGATTTTTTACATGTATATCTGAAAGGATGAAATGGCAGTGATAGTATATTGTTGTGTAATTCTAAGCCTTCCTCTTGGACAAAATAAATAAAAAAGGATGCCAGTATGATACCTGTCACGTGACAACTAAGGATACATTGGATACATAACGTAATACCTGTATCAGACGGGACCCCTGACTTACATGTCATGTGGTTCGTATTCCAGAGTTATATGTATTCGCTTCCAGGAAGTCCTCGCAATACTTCTGGAACATACGGGCTTAGACTGATTTTGTTTCAAAATCTGTTCCTTTAGTACCATTGACGGACGAAACATCTAACTGGTGTAGTTTTATTCAGTTTTTGTCGCTTCGTTATCTAATTCTATATCTGTATTGAAAGGTGTTATTTTTTTGTGGATCTTTTGTACAATTCTCCAGTACCTACATGGGCACCAATATGACGGAGGTCGTTTCATCAACTCCTCTGTTAGATAGATAACATTGTACTTCTGGTTTGATGGTATTAAACCTTTACTAATTTATACTCACCCCGTCAGACTTGTAGATGATATCATCATTCATGTGTCGTGTCCAGATCGACCCAGAGTCTATCTCCAGCTTCCCGTCCCTGGTATCCTCATATTCCTTCATATTTAAAGTTTATAGTCACACAAACACCAGGTGTAATTTCAGGTAAAAATATCTATACAATAATTAACACAATACTTGTCGATACGCGCCTGATCGTCAAAGGAAAGTGTTATCACACTGAAACTATAATCAGCAAAGAGAGCTCCGTTTTTTCACTAATGTCTAGAAATATTTGAAAAACTCGAAAAAATATCCAAAATTCAGCACTTTCCACACAAATCGTGTTTATGAAACTGATTCCGTCGTTGTGAAGTGTGGCCTTTCAGTATCCAGTGAATACAGAAAGGCACGGAAGCGTGTCACGATGCCCGGATAATATTTCACTCTAAATTTGTGGTTTCAGAGTAAGAAAAATCATCCTTTTCATTTGGCATAAATCCCAATATCATGATTATCTTACAGTTGGTGTTGTGGTAACTCGGTGGTAGTGTCTGCCAACCGAACTAAGTCTGCTCTATTATAAAAACGGTAGCTTGATCGTGACATAAACCGCAACAATGCTTTAGTACAATGTCTATCATACCTGAACCTTCCTATACATCATAGTACAGATATCACTGATCGGCGACAATAAACAATAACATCGGTCAACAAATACAGGGTTTTTTTAGGAACCAGCCAATACTACGTCAATACAACAGGTGACAATATATAAAAACTAGGTAAAACTGAACGAAAAAATGCCCTGCTGCCAACTACGTTCCGTAACAGTAAATGAACGTGATCTTCATGTTCCGGGAAACTGGTGTTTCCTGACGGACATCGTGGTATGCGATGTCCAGTCATACAGCGTGACAGATATGTGTCGACTGACCAGTGTGCTTTAACGCTGACAACGTCCGGCGTGAGATGTTTTTATTTGGAGCCATCAATGCTGGCCTAAATGAGCATATTTATGACATCGTCTGTCGCTCTCCCAACGATAAAATCACATTTTGAATGACCGCGGGTCAAAATAGGCAAAAGGATTGACCAAGAGCTTGCGTTGTTAAACGTACTCTAAGTGTGATGACTAATATCGTCAATGTACTTATACTGGTGCGAATCTTCCTGGTATTTTTTATCAATTATACTACAACTAATTATAATATATGTACATATAATATGTTTATACTCATTATGAAATTAAGAATGAGAACCAATCGTATGTTGATTCTTCCTTAATAGTACGTCTACCGTTTTCGCCGAGCAGTGATCTTCTTTAGAGAAAAATGAATATAGTGAGCTTGTTGAGAGTGATTGTCATTCTTATATCGTCATTTTTTCTCCAGTCGCTCGAGACCGAGAGTTATTCAAGCAAGGAGTATAGGAAGCCATCTAAACCTTTATCACCGTAACAATATCGGGATATGATGTTAGATCATAATGTTAGATAGATGTCTATCGTAAATCCTTACCTCACATAAACACATGATTTAATTAGAAGGTAAATGTTCGGCCTATTATAAGAATGTGATTGACTAGAATAAATGGTGGACGATAAAACAAATCTGTTTGTAGACAGGTCAGTAAAATAGAAAGCACTAGTTGATCAATAATTTAGCCTTCAGTACAATGCTCTTTAAGCGTAGTTAAAATGACAAAATTCTACGTATTTGATTCATTGTTCATAACTCTTTTTCTACTAGAACTGAAGGTCATACATTAAAAAAATTCGTACTTCTAAGAGAGACACATCAATATCGACGTGTAACGTATTTTTCATTTTATAATTCTTTACAGATGTGACTGACCTATACTAAAACTTTGACTATATCCTTGAATTACAATAGGTGTGTAGTGTATATGTTACAGTAAGATTGTGAAATCAGGGATTAAGTGAAATCACTAAAACTTTCAGTGAATTCGTGAGATCCGTAATTCACTTAGTAATTTCACGAAATCACTAAAATCTTTAGGGGTTTCCTGTAATTACTGAAAAAAGAAGTGTTGTATTACACAAATCTACTTGACCCTTTTTTAGGAATATTGTGAAATAGAATTTCACTGAACACTTTTATTACCCTTGGTTTAACATATGTTACAGTAAAATTATTAAACTTGGTTTCAGATGAATCTATTTACTTTGAATATTAATGTCAAGGCTTGTGATATAACAATTAATACGACTACCACCATGAGTTACACTGGCTGTGTAGTGTAGCTATGACAACAACCATGAGTTATACTGGCTGTGTAGTGTAGCTATGACAACAACCATGAGTTATACTGGCTGTGTAGTGTAGCTATGACAACAACCATGAGTTATACTGGCTGTGTAGTGTAGCTATGACAACAACCATGAGTTATACTGGCTGTGTAGTGTAGCTATGACAACAACCATGAGTTATACTGGCTGTGTAGTGTAGCTATGACAACAACCATGAGTTATACTGGCTGTGTAGTGTAGCTATGACAACAACCATGAGTTACACTGGCTGTGTAGTGTAGCTATGACAACAACCATGAGTTATACTGGCTGTGTAGTGTAGCTATGACAACAACCATGAGTTATACTGGCTGTGTAGTGTAGCTATGACAACAACCATGAGTTATACTGGCTGTGTAGTGTAGCTATGACAACAACCATGAGTTATACTGGCTGTGTAGTGTAGCTATGACAACACTGGACGTGATTTTTCTACTTTAACTACCCATAAAACTGCTGCCATCTCTCTGAGAAAACAGTATGGTATTTGCGGACATTTCTGTTGCTGAATACATCGTAATACTTCGTCCTTCATTTGGCACAATCCTATTGCCTTCCGTCCATGTAATTGACGAAATTCCCGAAAACATTGAACTGATTAAATATATCTGTGTGACTTCACATTGCTTATTACACGAAGTAGTAAGATGTTAAGCAACTATCTAAGTATTAAATAAGTACATGATAGCTAATGAGTTAGTGATATTACATGTACATATCTTATGTCATCCTGTATGTTATTTTAGAGCCTCATAAGTTGGTGTTGACGATAATGATCGGTAAAATTACAGAAAATCTCTGTACATGTTGTATTTTAACAAGAATCCATATCCCAGTCAGGGATTATTGTGTACCAATTTCTTCTAGGATTTGAAAATTTACTGCCCATTATCGCTGTTCCAACAGTTTATATTAGTCTCCGTTTCGGAATCCAGACCACTCCTCCCTTATTCTACCTTCTTTGGTTTTCGTGACCTTACTACCCATAATGGATGCATATGTTTAAATCAACTTTGTCTGAGGTTTGTTGGCATGCTCCTCGTCAAACAACACGAGGTTTTTAAATTAATTCCGTTATTGAGAGTTGAAAGTATTAAGGAATGGTGTTCTCTAGGAAAGTTTATATATGAGGCAACTAAGTTAAGAAATAATACATTATTAAACATTAAGTAATAATAACATAAAGTATTAAGTATGAAATACAGGGACATTATATGTCATTCTCTATATATGTATGTTACACCATGCTGTAATTTGTTTATATTGTTTTGTGACTGATAGGCCGGAAGGCCTAAGGTAATAAAATAGCTGAAATATTGAGGTTATTATAACAATAATCAATACTCGATAATTATCTACTGCTGCTTTTGACCGTTCATAGTTTAAGATGACCATGCTTGGTCATTGGTCAAACAACACGTGACAACTGGCCTAACTGATGGTATCGCACGTGAGCGTGGGTTTGTGGGCGCTTGTCTCCTAAAGGTAAACTGATTTATAGTGATAGAGAAAGTAAATAAATATTTTGTTTATACACTAGTCATACAAATTATCAACAAACCTAGGATTGATGTTATCGATAACTTATACACATTGTTCAGCTGATAGCCCACGAAACGCCTTTCATTGCCTTTTAGGGATTACAGGGCTGTTACTTGTCGTTTTGACATTAAGTCAGTTTCAAAACTTTGCATTATCAAATCTTACAAGAAGAACTCATCGGCAGGTGGACAGGTGTCGGAAAGGATATATGTATTTATATCTTATACATAGAGCTGTAAACATAAATACATCATACCACATAAACATATATCAACAGCGCGGAACGGTTTATTTCCATGTGTATATTGATCACATGTGATCAGCGCAGCACAGTATATATTTGTTGTCAAAAAAACCTTTTGGCTATAATATTGTTGTTGAACTTCCCAATTAGACATGGCTCAGGAGGAATTTTCATCAATTTCTGAACAGAAATAAAAATAGGACATAATGAGCCCGGAATGTGCTACTGTGTTGTCTCCTGATTCAACTTTCCTTTGTTTTTGTTGATTTTTCTACCTGGAGGCAGATTTATATTTATGTACCAACAATATTTTCTTGGTAGTTGCTGATGGCTCCGGAGATTTCCGAATGGATAGACTCGTTAATAAACAAACCCTACGGCTACTACCATCAAACTGACCGTCACTGCCTTTCGCCAGTATTACTGTATATACCGGGTTCAATAGTTTATTTCAAAATCATGTGCTTTAATATTTCGTGATATTCTTCTCTTTTTTTATCTATTTTTTGTTTCCTTTCTTTTTCTTTCTTTCTTTCTTTTTTCTCTTTCTTTCTTTCTTTCTTTCTTTCATAACTTATCTTTCTTTCTTTCTCTCTTTCTTTCTTTCTTTTGTTTTGTTTTGTTTGTTTTATAATTATTACTTTGTTGAGACAAATACAACTGTATTTTCCTTTTTTAAAGTTGTACTTTAACATAACCTCTAATAAATGGTTGTGTTTTGATTTTTTCAATAATTTTGCAAAATATGTTCAATGATTTTTATTCAACAAAGATGATAAGGCATTGTGATTTGTTCCCATTTTGACATCATACATGTCTTCTTACTATTCCAATTTTTTTCCTGCTGTTGTCATCTGTCTCCATCCTGTTCCCATCTGTCTTCCTACAGTAGTTATCTGTCTTTATACTGTCCATATGTCTTCCTACTGTAGTCATCTGTCTTTATACTGTAGTCATCTGTCTTTATACTGTAGTCATATGTCTCCATCCTGTTCCCATCTGTCTTCCTACAGTAGTTATCTGTCTTTATACTGTCCATATGTCTTCCTACTGTAGTCATCTGTCTTTATACTGTAGTCATCTGTCTCCATCCTGTTCCCATCTGTCTTCCTACAGTAGTTATCTGTCTTTATACTGTCCATATGTCTTCCTACTGTAGTCATCTGTCTTTATACTGTAGTCATCTGTCTTTATACTGTAGTCATATGTCTCCATCCTGTTCCCATCTGTCTTCCTACAGTAGTCATCTGTCTTTATACTGTCCATATATCTTCCTACTATAGTCATCTGTCTTTATACTGTAGTCATCTGTCTTCATACTGTTCCCATCTGTCTTCCTACTGTAGTCATCTGTCTTCATACTGTTCCCATCTGTCTTCCTACTGTAGTCATCTGTCTTTATACTGTCGTCATCTGTCTTCATACTGTTCCCATCTGTCTTCCTACTGTAGTAATCTGTCTTCATACTGTTCCCATCTGTCTTCATACTGTTCCCATCTGTCTTCCTACTATAGTCATCTGTCTTCATACTGTTCCTATCTGTCTTCATACTGTACTCATCTGTCTTTATACTGTCGTCATCTGTCTTCATACTGTTCCCATCTGTCTTCCTACTGTAGTAATCTGTCTTTATACTGTAGTCATCTGTCTTTATACTGTCGTCATCTGTCTTCATACTGTTCCTATCTGTCTTCATACTGTAGTCATCTGTCTTCATACTGTAGTCATCTGTCTTCATACTGTTCCCATCTGTCGTCATACTGTTCCCATCTGTCTTCCTACTATAGTCATCTGTCTTTATACTGTGGTCATCTGTCTTCATACTGTTCCTATCTGTCTTCATACTGTAGTCATCTGTCTTCATACTGTAGTCATCTGTCTTCCTACTGTAGTCATCTGTCTTTATACTGTAGTCATCTGTCTTCATACTGTTCCCATCTGTCTTCCTACTGTAGTCATCTGTCTTCATACTGTTCCCATCTGTCTTCCTACTGTCGTCATCTGTCTTTATACTGTAGTCATCTGTCTTCATACTGTTCCCATCTGTCTTCCTACTGTCGTCATCTGTCTTTATACTGTAGTCATCTGTCTTCATACTGTTCCTATCTGTGTTCATACTGTAGTCATCTGTCTTTACACTGTTCCCATCTGTCTTCCTACTGTCGTCATCTGTCTTTATACTGTGCCAATGTCATATTACTGTCAATATCGTTTTTCCTGCTGACCTTATCTATCTTTCTACCGTCCCTATCTGCCTTCATACTGTCCCTTCTGTCTTCTTTCTTCTTACTGTCTTCATTTGTCATCTTACTGTCCCCATATCATCATACTGTCCCCATCTGACTTCTTACAGTTCCAATTTGTCCTCCTGCTGTTCCCATCTGTCTTCCTGCTGTCCCGTTGTCATGGCGGGGACGGCAAGATTCTCGCACATCTGTAGTTAAGTGTTAGACAGAGCGTAGCCGAAATGACTACAGTACATTGTTCCCATCTGCTTTATTGCTTGTTTATAACCTGTTTACCATTTCGTCACACTTTTTTGACCTTGGTGTACAAAGGATTATAGCACAGCTGAAAAAGTGGGTCGATTCCGTACCATATCGTACATTACGTACGTCAGTGCTAGCACGCTACATACTGGTCATTCGTCTGATGAAGGAGACCGTGTAGTCATCGATACGTCACACTCTAATCTTCTACTGGTTGTGTTATAGGACGAAGGTGACCGTGTAGTCATCGTCACACTCTAATCTTCCACTGGCTGTGTTATAAGATGAAGGTGACCGTGTAGTCATCGTCACACTCTAATCTTCCACTGGTTGTGTTATAAGAACCCCGATTCTATTGACATTACGACCTGAAGAAAATATTCCCACAACAAATCCTGACTTGTTTCCTATTTATTATGACATTGCACGTTTTACATGTAAGGTTTTGATATACTGCTAGTAGCGGAAGATATAATTTGTTCTGAGCTTCTTTTCTTAATGCGCAAGTACATGAAAGTGGTAATGAATGTATGAATGTGAAAATATTTGGCATAACTGTTTTGATTGAATATTATACATAAAGCAGCGTTAGATTTAAGTTGATAACATTTATCAGTTTCATAACGTCACAATTAATATTCTTTTCTGTGGTTTTCGAAAAAAAAATTCAATTTCTTTAGATTTTTATTAAAGACACTAATCGGTTTTAAGGTTATCGGTGAGTAAATCTATCCAGTACACAATCTCCTTTCTTCTAATTTAATGAAAATATATCATATGTGTAAAATTTGTATGTAATGTAATTTTTGGGATCCCATTGGTTGGATTGAATTAAGACACACACACCTTTTACTCTCATTTTCAGTACATCTATAAGTGTATAACTCAGCTATTATAGCGGTCTTTGTATGACATGTCCGTATCTTATTGACATGTAATAAACCAAGAACCTATTTGTGTTCTTAATATTAATCCGGTGCTCTCTAAATTTATCTGCTTGCTGAGCAAGAAAATCCGCAGTTCTATTCCCGAAAATTGTCTTTAATATTGATTTGACGAGGAGCACTCGTGATTATAAAAAGAAGTGATATTTTGATTAATGCCACATCGCTGTACAAGCATGACTTATCTGGAAGATGGCTTAAAATCCGGGAAAGTCTACACGTCCATTTCCGGAAATTGTTTTTATTTTTAGTTCAGCTGAGAACGTTACAAACAAGAAGGCATGAGTTCCTCGCAAGACTAAAACGTAGCAATGAACAGAATGGTTCCTTGTCTTTTGGAATTGAACTTCCATATTTTTTCCTGCAGCAATTGTGAAATGATTGTAATTAACATTTACTCGTAATGTTAAAGCTAAAATGTGCAAAATAAGCATAACAGAACATTGTAACAACAGACATATAGGTGACACATGATATATGTTGTTACTAGGTGACATAAAACAGATTGGTGACACCTGAAATATATTGTTACTAAGTGACATAAAACAGATTGGTGACACATGAAATACATTGTTACTAAGTGACATAAAACAGATTGGTGACACATGAAATACATTGTTACTAAGTGACATAAAACAGATTGGTGACACATGAAATACATTGTATCTGAGTGACATAAAACAGATTGGTGACACATGAAATACATTGTTACTAAGTTACATAAAACAGATTGGTGACACCTGAAATATATTGTTACTAAGTTACATAAAACAGATTGGTGACACATGAAATATATTGTTACTAAGTTACATAAAACAGATTGGTGACACATGAAATACATTGTAGCTGTGTTGCATAAAACAGATTGATGCCACTGGAGATATATTGTAGCTGTGTTACATAAAACAGATAGAACCTTTAACAACTTATAGTCAACTAAAGAGACCCGTGTCTGTTTGGAACACGTGCCGCTTAGTTTAAAAAACGATATATAGAATCAGAAAGTTATATTTGTTGGAGAGGTGGTTTAGAAAGAAGTCGACAAAATGCTATTGTACAGAACAAACCACCGTTCATCAGTGTGTATGTACGACCTACTACAATATACAAAATGTGTGGCTGCTGAGGCAAACATGTTTTTCTTATATATTTACGAATATATAGACGAAAATCAAAACTTGACTAAACTTGACATCAGGAAATTACGTGTCAGTTACTAGCATAAGTCAATAGGAAAACCCAAAATAACCAAGTAAAAATTAGTTTTGAAGTCTTGTTGATATGAAAAGGATTTTAGAAATATAACAATCGATGACAGGAACAAATATCTAATGACTTTCAAATATTGGTATGAACGCTAGCAATTTCTGGACATGTACAAAAGGGGAGTTTACTCTTACCAATTCTTATGCGTCAGACTGACATAAGAGGGGACATAACTCATACAATCTTACATAAAGTAAAAACATAAACATTTATTTGAACTGTTGGTTAAGATCTGTGGCTTTATAAAAAATCTATTTGTTGGAATTCATCATATCGGCATGAAATGTAATTAACAATCAACAGCGAGTATGGTTATCTTAAACTAATACATTATATGTTTTCTGACGGAAGAGTTACTTACTGGAGAACTTAAGTCCTCTTGCTTTTTACCAAAGACTTGAGTAGCAGAACGAACAGCGAACTTTATTTAAACAAGTTAAAACTTCTGTTTCCTAATTTTGATCCGAACGAATATTAAATTTTCCTTTTTTCAATGAAACCTGTATTTAGTTGGAAAGCAACCGAAATGTTGTACAATGTTTGCTTTTTCTTTTAATTCGGATAATTTTAAAGATTGCACTAAACATGACCGCATTCTGTTATCAGAGCGAGACCTAGTTTCATGTATATATATGTGGAAGAATACTAGTATTAATCCTCACTCAATCTCCTGCAATAAAGATAATGTTTTTGTCAGTGTAAAAGGTAAAATAGTAATATTTTGAAAGTTAAAATAGTAATAAGTTCAAATTTTGTTAATAAATGCAGCAAAAACACACGTTTTGCATGCTAAAACCTGCAGCAAACAACAGCAAACAGCAACAAGCGTTTAATTTCTTTATCGTTATTACATATTCAAAAGAATAATAATAAAAAAATAAGTGAAAATGTAGTTTGATAATTTAAAGAAATCAATTATTTTATGCTTTTTTGTCAGTAAATAGAAATATTTTGTAATAAAAAACTGCAAAAATTGGTTGCAATTTTTGGTTGACTTACTACGATTAATTGGATTTGTGGTTACGTACTACGATTGGTTTGCGAGTGTACATGAACAAAACAGCAGCAAAAAGCAGTAAACATCAGCAAACAACAATAGCAAAACAACAGCAAACAACAACAAACAACAGCATCAAAAGCTTATTTTTGTCACCTTTATATATTTTTAGAAATTAATAATAAACAAGTAATTTTGTGAGCGAAAAATATAAATTTTGCAAATAGGAAATGAGTTAAATTAAAGAAATGTAATAATTTTTTCGCTTTTTATGTAAGTAAAAAAATAAAATGTGTACTTTCCAGACGTGTGTTATTCCTCAAGGCAATGCTGTATGATAGCTGATAGCTTTGTTATTTCATTATTTGCTGAGAATTAACAGTAACTTTCGTCTTTAAGTCCCAATTTTCATAGCAACAGAATGAGAAATCCTTACGCAGAACAAACCATGAAGACTTTGTTTAACAACCAGGAATACTTTGCCCGGAACAAAATAACGGCTTCCTTCGTTCTTTCCATTGGGCGAAATATCGATATTCTTCGATTTGTCGACGATAGGAGCGAAATGATTATAATGGTCTTTTGCCGTTTCGAAATAAAAAAAAGCATGTTAGCTCTGTCGTCATGGGACTTCGTGATTTCGACCCGACGGGCGACATTTGCTGATAACTTAAAAAAATCGTTATTTCGCCTAATCTTTCGTCTACCGCCTAATAATTTGCACACGTGCTTTGACAGGGCGTAGACATCATAATTTTGTACCAGTCGAAGGGTTGGTTATCAACATTTCTCCTTGTGGGACTGTAGAGCGCAGAAATATTTATATCACTCCCTTATATCAAGCGAAACTTACATAACGAGATGATGAAGTGGCAGCCATCAGACAACATAGTGTGATGATATCACTGTTGTTTAATGAGAAAACCATGCAAATATCGAATTCTCCATTTCAAAGGAAGGTGCGTTTTCAATTCAAAAATTCTTGCTACTTAAAAAATAAATGTTCATGCTTGGAATACACAACGAGCCGATAACCGTCTGAGGTGTGACATTGACGGTGAGTCTCCCTCTTTATGACGTGTTGATAAGTTGGTTACTACCATCACGTAAATCTTACCAACATATTACCTGTTAGCAAAGGCTCCTACCTACACGAAACAGTTTTTGAGTGAACGAGTTTTCTTTTAATCTGTTTATGAATAACATGTGTTAATGTTGTGGGTAAAAACCGGTTTAAGATTCTTCCCTAAATATAGTCATATTCTGTTGCCACGGTCCGACGATTTTCCTACACAACAATGTTATGTGTATGGCCGCCCACCATTACATGGTTAAACCATTCATGTATCTTTTGTGAGGCGTCCCTACCATTAATAATACATGCTGATGTATATATTTTGAAAAACGATGGTTTGAATAAATATTACTTAATACACAATTAAACTTCGACGTTATTACCTCAATATTTGTTTTAGTTCTACTTCGCAGGCCGGCACGGATATGGTAATAATCCTTTCTCTGTATCAAACAAGGGTCTGTAATTTTTAATAAACTCAGTACTTCTTTTCTCAGTCTTCATGTATCACCTTTTATCCACATCACTTTTACTTGTAAATAGTCTGCCCTTTGTCACATAATGGTGGGTAGGGTTCCTCTGCGTAAATGAGACGCCGATCAGATTTTGAGGTGGGCGTGTTTGTTTAGGTTTCGTTTTCCTCCGTGAACTTTTCACTAACAT